TGTTTAGTGTGGGAAGTAAAGCCACCGAAGACTTGTCAACTCTCACGCTCCAGGGATGGGGACTGCACAACCTCTCTGGACAACCTGTTCTGCTTGATTGCCCTCATAGTGGTGCTTTGTCATCTCCTGCTCGCTAGAAACCTGCAGTGTTTCAGTTTGTGTCATTATCTCTTGTTACCTTACATACACTTTGTTTAAGAGCCTGGCTTTGTTTCTTTGGTCCCTCTGAAATTGTCTCTTCTGTAAGCTGAACCTGCCCAGTTTTGGAAAAGGCCTATAAGATCATCCACGACAAAAGCATGTCCCTGAGCACCACATCTACAAGTCTTATAAATACTTCAGATTTGTCAGGCATGATTTATTCTTGGTAAATTTATGCTGCCTTTTCTCAGTCACTTTGTTCGTTTCTTGTGTCCAGAAATGGTTTCAAAGAAGATTTTCTCTGTAATTCTCCCAGGAAAAAAGTGAGACCTACTAATGTGTAGTTCCCTGAAAAAAATCTTGGGTTTTTTGAATATTGGTGTAGTATTTCTTTTTATTCAGTTGGAGACTTTACCTGATCTCCACACCTTTTGAAATAGAAGAAAATAACCTTTCAGCTTCATCAGACAGTCTCTCAGCATCTTCCTACAGATCCCATCTGTCCTCCCTAGAACTTGTAAAATCTGAGGTTTCTTAAGAGATCTCTGGCTTAATCCTCACAGTACTTGTAGTTTCTCTCCTCTTTGAATTCTGTGTGTACAAAGGACCACAAGATGTTGCTGGTGAAGTCCAGAGCCATGGCTGCATCCACTGTCAATAAATCTCCTGAGCTATTCAGCATCTGGTGTGCATTTTCATTGTTCTTTCTTTTATTGCTCATGGAAGAGCAGAAAAAGAAGAGGGGAAGTCTTCTTGTTGTCCATACCATATCTTGCCAGTTCCAAAACCAGGTGAGCTGGGCTTTTCCTATCACCATTCCTGCATGTCCTTAGTCCTGCTTCCTCCTCCTTTATGCTGTTGTTCTGCAGTGTAGCTCAGTCACGACTTCCCTGTTCAGCTAGAGGCCATCTCCTGCTATTTCTGCTTGTTTTCCTGAGTTTTGTGCTTGACAGAGATTGTCCTGAAAGACCTGCTAGCTTACTTGAGCTCTGTTTCCCTTCAAAGGTGACTCTCAGGGGATCCCACTGACCATTTCCCTGAACACACTGAAGCCTCTGCTCAGATTATCACATCTTCATTCAGCTCTTCCTTGTTTTTGAGTAGCAGATCCAGAAGAGCATCTCTTTTGACTGACCCCACAGGTTAACATGGCCTGGAGTCCCATCTTATTCACTTTGCCCCCAGAACTTTGTAGTCCTGATCTGCACTAGGCCATGGCTTTGGTGTCCATGTGGATGTGCAACAATGGGTAGTGGTCCAAGGAATGTAAATTACCATAGTCTTTCTGCAATGAGTAGGGTCCCCTAAAAAAAAGTCCCCACGAATCCCCTAAAAAAAGCCCCAACCTGTTGTAACAGCATGACTGTTTAGCAAGCGTGTGCCTTCATCCCTCACAGTCACCCACCACTTCCTTTTGCTCTCTGCTGACACACTGTTCAAGCTCAGTTGGTTTCAAAGCCTTCCTTAATGGAGCTTGTTCTCTCTCACTGGTTAATAGGACACTTTACCACTTCTGTGAACTTAGATCAGAGGGCAGAGAAGGACTGTTTTTGCTGATGCAAGAAGTCACTAGTTTCTAGCTTCCCCATCTCAGGAGTCTCCATCAGCATCTCACTCAACCATAGCCTCTGACTGTTCTTCCTGCTTTGCATCACGAGCCTCAGGATTTGCCTCAGCAATGTCTCATGAAGACTCTGATTTTCTGGTCATCCTTGATATTTGCAGGCTGCTCACCTCGACAGGCTTGTCCACTGAACACTGCTGGGCAATGCACAAATCAAAAAACTTCCTGGGAATAAAATTTTGGAACAGTTCACGTTCTCATTCCTTAGCTCTAATAAAGCCTCGCTGCATGCCCCAATATTTGTTACCCTCTGATATAGTAAAAATTGATGGAGGTGGTTAAAGGATGGTGAAGTTAAGAAAGAAAATAAAGTTCAAAAAGTTCTTTTTCCCCTAGGAAAAACATCTATTGTTTCAGTGTTGACTATTGATATACACTACTTAAAAATCTTGTGTCCTTTTGTATAGCTTCATCTGTTCTTTCACTGGGATGCTTAAACCCTTTATTTTTACTTTTTGGACAGCTGCATATGATGAATGCTGTGTGAGCTAAAAATGCTGCCCTTTCCTCTGAGGCCAATGTAAAATAATCAGGAGGAAATCAAGACAGAAAGTAGAAGTGTGAATATGGTTGCTGCAGCTGGAGTCATATGGAAATACATCTGAAAATGAAGTGCTAAACAGAAAATTAGTATAAATACCTTCCATGCCAAAACCCAAACAACTATAGACTTAGAGGGACTACAGAATAGAGCAGAGGATGAAACTGAAGAATTAAAAAAAGGGAGTTCTTACACGGTGGTATTATTTTTTCTTTTCCTTTTCTTGTTTTTGTATGTGCCTGAAAATGTTTTAGGATAGACAAACAGATGACCATGGACATGAACGACTCTTCAAGTGTAAAGGAAATTTAGACTGTAAATGCATTTTTAAGAATGGATTTAGCTGTGAAAGAAGCAGCTTGGGAAGGCCCTACAGTGCTGTAACCCCATTAGTCACAGTGGAAGAGGTAAAAGGGCTTGTTAAAACAATAAATGGATGTGGAAAAGTGCTGACAGAAGGGTGAAAGCAGCAGCTGCACCCTGGAGGAAATGGGCAAACTGAGGAATAGGTTTCAAAAGAGAGAAGGCAATTTTTATTGTGGCTGTCCCCCCGTTCTTGTCCGTATTAGTTCAATGTCGCCTTGACCCTCCCTCCAGCAAGCAGAGGGAGGGGAGGAGACTTCCACACTTGTCAGTATTGGTTCTTCAGTCAGATCAGGAGGATGCACTGATATGACACTGGTTATTTTATTAGTATGTGGGTCAAAATAAAATCTGGCAGCAAAGCTTTTCAGAAACTGGGTGAGTACTCCTCTTTTCTGTGATTTTGTAGAGTCTGCAAGGAACCTAGGGTAGTTTATCTCTCTTACACTATTACATGGTGCACTGTAGAAAAACTGTTGCTAATTTTGGTGGAAATGAAAGTGTGGAAGCTCCATTTCCTCTCTCCCTAACCTGAGTGAAGACTCATTGAGTGCACTAATCCTGGAGTTTTGTTATATTCTGATCTATTATAAAGTGAGTTAACTTCTTCTACCTTAAAATGCTTGCAACCACACCCTGCCTCACTTCCCTGTCTAGCACAGACGTCCAAGGTACTGGATTCTCATGGCCAAGTGAGTTTTACCAGAATTCTGTGCCAGTGCATGACACTTCCCTGTGTCTTCTTCCTGCTGCATGAAAAAAGAAATAGTGACTTTAAATATGAAAGTTAATCAAGCCTTCTTTTATTCCGAGTGGCTCTTCTTTCAAGCTAATTAAAATAATTCAGATGAGTGAAGAACATTTTAATTGACTTAGGATTGCAGTTCAGAAAAAATAAAATATTTCTAGTGGAAATACTTTTGGGGATTAAGCCAGCATCATAGCATGCAGGAGAGTTGAATTCAGCTGTTACCGTGTTACGGATTTGCTTCATAACTTTGAGAAATGCTTTCACCTTACTTCTAAATGCCAGTTTTGATGGTCCATTCCACACTTTGTTTTGTGCATTTAAGTGAAATGGGCTCTTGCACTTAGAGGGTTCCTGTAGGTTTAGGAAACAGTCCTGGAGGCTGAAATTCTGGATTTGTTCAGCTAGCCTACAGGGCTTGTGCCCAAGGAGCTGGTGTTACCTGAGCTCTTGGTTCCTACCTCTCCATGCCTGCCACTCCTTTGTGCCAGCTCTGGTGTTTGTGCAGCCACATGTCCATGTGATGAGGAGCATGACTCAAATGAAGATGTAGGTAGGTAGATTTACAGAGCATTTTCTAGGCACATCATTGCCTTAACTAAGCTCACTGAAAAACATTATACAGGCAAAGTGAAGTAAAGCTTGGCTGGGGTTGGACCCACTTGGAGAGCAGGTGGGATCACGCCTTTGGCAATGTGTACCACAGAGATTGACTTGGAGGACTTCAAAACCGAGTTAGCGCTTGCTAAGGGAACACAGGGGCTTCTAGGGACTCCCCCTGGTAAGTGGCCCTATTCTCACACATGTAGATTTCCTTTCAACAGCCGATCATGTGCAATCAGAGTTTTTTGGTTTGGTTTTTCATTCCACAAGATACAGGGATTTCCTGCATGATGTTTTTTTCATGAGCTGCTTGCATGCATTTGCCACTTAATTTCCTCCAGGTGGGATGGAGAATTGAGGGTAACATGTTGATTTTAAAGCTCACACAGCTACATTTATGTTCTCCATGACACAAACTTTATATTGCTTTATCTCGTTTTCATGTTTATGTAATACACAAGTCTCTACTTCCTCTAGTGTCATGGAAGATGAAGGTTTGCATTTTTATACACACAGACACTGTTTGTTTGAAGTGTCTCCTTTCTCCAGAATATTTGCATGCCTTTGAAAGTGGTTGCTGAGTGTATCTAGCCTTCAGGTGATGGCAAAGCATGGCTTTATTGAGAAGAACTGGAAATTCAGAATAAACCCAGAACTTAATGTCCCAAAAAGGAGACATCCTATTGCAAAGTAACTTACTGCTGCCACGCTGAGTCTGTATCCCACTGAAGTCAGTGGTTTAACAGCAGCAGATAGTATATTTGTTACAGATATGACCAGTTGTCACATATGAAAAACTAGTTTTGTGTGTAATTTCCAATAGTGTGCTGCTCTGAAACTGTATCAGAATTGGAATGTTGCTCAAAGTGATGTCTAAAGTTGGTTCTTTGAGAATCTTTCCAAGGATTCTTCTTTTCCTCAAAGTTTTGGAGTATAGGTGAAAGATTTTTTAATATGTTTTTCTTCTATCTGATTCTCAGGAGGCACAATCAATCAAGAAATTACCTACCTTGATTCACTCTGGACTGGTAGCTGTTTATGGCACAGTTGTTTTGAATCATATAGTTCTCTTTTTGGGAACAGATGATGGACAGTTACTGAAGGTAAGCTGGGTGTGGCAGTTCTTCCCTTCTCCACCAGCTGCTGTTGCGTTCAAGCGGGTAAATATTTCCTCATTAATTCAGTATATTATAAACAAATATGATCCCCTGAATCTCTGGTTTTTGTTTGTGAAATAACTGCTGTATGGTCATTTGAAGAGCAAGATAACTTTTGAAAGCAGTTAGGTAGTGTTGCTGTGTAATAGCCTGTCTCAGTATCCTGGTTCTTTCCCCAGGTGTGCCAATACCCTCTCCTTTCCCCTCCCCTTGCCTCCTGCTGGGTGCTGTCTGTCTATCTTGGCATTCCAGCAAGGGCATCCTGTCATTGGCAGAGTTCAAAAGATGCCTCTCAGCCCTGGGCCCATTGGGCCATCCAGGTGTCATTTATCCCCTCAGACTCCCTCCCCTTACCTGGTCGGTGGGATCCCTGCCCCTTCCCTCCCCTCTCCCTGGGGTTAAAGGACACAGCAACCACGTGGTTTGTGGTTCTGTGGGAGCTGTTGCTGCATTCAGAGGCCTGTGTGCCAGGAATAAAGCTCTGGATCAAACCCTCCAGCAGAACCCGACTCCTTTCCTTCACCTCACCTTAAAGCTTCTCCACCAGAGGTAAACCTGAGCTCCTGCATGCCTGGACTTGTCCCAAGCGCCAGCTGCAGCATCCAGCCAGCCAAAGGTGTCTCTGAGGTGAAACCACCACAGCTGCTGCCTCTGGTCAAGCAGCAGGCCCAGACGAGCCCAGGCACGTTCCATCCGGCTATATTGGTATTTAATTCCAATAAGGTAGCCCACTAAAATTCAAGTAAACATTTCATTAAAACTCTAATGCCCACAGTATTAATTTACGGACTGTGGAGTTCTCAGTTATTCTGCCTTGTTTTGATTTTTTTTAATCCTTGCTTTGGCTTTTCCAGTAGAAATATTGTTAGATTTTGGAAGGGTGTTTGTTTGTTTGTTTGTTTGCCTGTGTGATGTGAAAAGCTGTCCATTAGAGAGAAGAGTCAAGATTCATTTTGCCTTAGCTTCTGAGTTGACCAACACAAACTTAAATCTATTGCTTGAAGGTGGAAGCCATCTTACCTCATTATCAAACATTTCAACCATCCAGTCAAATGTCTTTTGTGCTTTAATTTTTTCTGAGTTTTGTGAAAATGTGCATTTCCTGCCTACACTGCGAAGGATGACTCTCATTCTTTGTCTTTATTAAGCAGACATTTGGGGAGAAATATAGTAGAGATATTGAAAAGCTTTGTCCATTTGATTTCATTTTGCTTTTGATAATGAAAGATGAAATTGAAGTCTTCCACGTCTCCTTAGCACAGTGGAGACAGCGAACACATTTCCCTATTTTAGTCATGGAAAACCAAAGTTGGTGTGCTTATTGACTTACAAAATAAAGTTTCTGGAGTCTCTGCTTCCCTTGAATTCTGTGCAAAGGGTGGTAGAAAATAGTAAAGTTGGGCAAGGTAAGAAAAAGAAATATCATCACAGGTGTATACTTAGAGAAGCCACAGAAATTTGTGTAAATTCCTTTTTACTTTATGGGTGTCTGAATGTTAGTTTGTTTTCCGAACGCTAATACTTTCTTCTCCATTGACAGGAGTAAAGGGTTGTTATTTTGGGATGTAGGCATTTCTTCCACATTCAGTTTCCAAATCAGTCAGTAACAGGTTTGGTGGAAGGCATGTTTCATATGCTAAATCAGTGCCAAATTCAGTGCTAAATGTGTCTGGCATGGATTTTGTTGAAATTCTGTTCTTGTGGTCTTTTCCTTCATCCTTCTCCAGTGTGAGAACCAGTGCAGTAAGTGAATTGAATCATGACAATAATTCATCTCAGAAGCTTTGATGTAACTGAAATTAGGCTTTTGTTTAAGATATTGACTGATCAATAAAAGAACATGGGAATAATTCAATTACACATGTTTTAGGCTATTCTTAATGAGGAGATGAAATCTAATTGCCCAGAGGTTTTATATGAAATTGAGGAAGAAACTTCCATTTTCCCCAAACTACGACTTGATCCAGTGAATAATAACTACATCTATCTGTCCTCTGCCAATAAGGTAAGTACAGCATTTAATAAAATAATAAATTCATATAAACTACTGCTTTAAGGATTTCTACCACTTTAGAAGTGAAACATCAGTTTGTGTTAGAGTTAGACTTTTCATATGCAAACTGCAGTTACCAGCTTTCCATCTAATATCTGCTTATGTTGCCTATGTTTGGACTGCACTCTTGCAGAGCTTGGAAGAGCTTCTGCTGTCATGGTGCTGCCCAGTGTTGCTATGATGCAGCAATACCCTTAATTCCGTGGTGATTTCATGCCATTCTGCCAAGAGAGTGTTTGTTTCTGTTTTTCCTGGAGGCAGGAAGATGCAGGTCATGCAGAGCCAGGCTTAGAGATAGCAAAAAAACTTGTACACTCTTTGGAGACAAAGCAAACCCGATGTTGGTAGGTCAGCGTTTGCCAGTCAATTAAGGATTTTCTAAAGTGAAGAAATCTCTTCATTTGAGAGATGGCTTTGAAGCCTTAGTTCTGATAAAATCGGTGATAATGCTGTAATCAGTGATAAAATTCCCATTGTCTTCAGTTAGGCACAGACTTCAGAAGAACAAAACAAAAGGGCAAAGAGAAGTGAGCAATGTGTGCATAGTGAGGCCAGGGAGTTCAGCAGAAGCTGAGAGCTGCTGCACGTGAGCAAACGTGTTGGAGCTGCACGTGGAGCAGTGAGCAGCTCCCAGGAGCCAGTACAGTTGTTGCAGCCCATCTTGCAGCAGGGCTACTGAGCAGCAATCAGAAAATCCCTTTGTCTGGCCAGCAGTGGGAAAGATGGCACTGGAAGCTTGAGGGCTCGCTGTCCATCTTAGCTGAACAGGATTTCACCCAGCACTTAATTACCGTCACTTGAAATAAGATCACTTTTCTGGCAGTGAGCATAGTGTTTTAGCCTGCTGTTACAGAGCAGGGGTAAGGAGAACCCCTGACTGATATAAAACATCTATCACAAATATAGAAGGAATCAAAGTCTCAGTCAAAAGTATACATAGATATTCAAAGTAAGACTTGAATTTTCCTTAGCTTTGATAGAAGACCAAGTTGTTATAGAGGAACAACAGCTTTTAGGAATAAAAACTTCTCTGATTTTTTTTCTCTGATTATTTTCTCTTGGAGTGAAGTAAGGCTTCTACATTGCCTTCTTTAACTTGGTAGTAATCTAAGATTATGACTGGATTCTAAATTGATTGTCTCACACACTTTTCAAGATAAATTGAATTTTATAATATGTGGAGGGAAAAAACAGTAAATATAATTTTGCAGGAAACAGTTGTTGTTTCTGTTGACAAAATACAGGAATTTCTGATTCTTGCAAATTTGTAAAATATTGTTTGAATTAGTTTTTCTTACTAAGATCATTAATTCACATTGTTATTAATCACATTATTTGTATCTGTATTCAGTATTTGTAATCAGCTTTCTCTTTTTCTTTTTCCTTTCCTTTTCTGAAAATGGCTGGCTAGGATATTCAAGCTGAATGTACAAGTATAGATACATACAGTATAGCCACAATTATCTACATTTACTTACTGAAATGGCATTTTCATGCATGCTAAGCAGTTGCATGCGTTTGTTCTAGTGTGCACATGCAGTAACCTGACATGGTGATGCAAACACAGATGCATTTTGTTATGCGCATGCATTTTTGGATGCACTTTCATCAATCATTTAAATATCTCCATTCGGAGGAGAGGAAAATGGTGTTCTGCTAAGCAGAGCATTATTTGTAAAATATACCTCCTTTCTCTTATGATCTATACTTCACTATGCTGATCAGTCTTTCTTGCATTAATCTGCCCATGCTGGCCTTTGAGTAGTAGAACCAAATTGTTATTGTCAGAGGTGTTTCATTATCTGATGGCAAAATACAGTGTGTGCAAAATAGGCTGCATATTTCTATCCAAAGGTCTTCTGGCAGAGGGGAATCCATAAGGAGACTTCCCCAGAGGGATTGTGCTTGGTTGCTGTCAGATTTTTAATGGTAACCTTCAAGTTCCCTGTTTATGGAGGCTGTATTCATTCAATGTGTTATTGCATTCTTTGGTTTCAGGTGAGAAGAATACCAGTTGCAAATTGCGGTAGATTTGCTTCTGAGCAAGAATGCTTATCTGCAAAGGACCCCTACTGTGGGTGGTGTTCTTTCAATCAAAGGTATCTTTTAGTATTTTAGACTGTCATAAAAGTAGAGCATTACTAGTCAGTGTACATTTTGACTGGCTCAGGGCTATTCAACATCAAAATTGTATCTACTGATTTTTTGTGGAATCAGTCATAGCCATAAATGTGAGACACTTTCTTGTCATGTGAAAGGGAACTTGTGAAAGGCTTTGTAACCCTCAGATTTTTGAGATCTATCCATAAAATATATGTTGGGCTAAGAATAATAAGAGCAGATATTTTGATATATTTGTAATAATAAGAAGATATATATCTGCTTTTAGAAGAGATATTTTTGTTTTTCATATCGAGAGAGAAAATTGTATACTTGTGCTTGAAACATCTTAATAGCTGGAAGCATTTTGTATGTGAAAAAAAGAAGAATGCTTAGTTGTCTTCTATATTAATAGTTCATTTTTTTGGAACCACTGACTTTGGTTTAGGCCAAAGGAGAATTTCTTTCTAAGTACTTTGTTCCCACATTTGAATCATTAATTTTGACACTAAATTTGAAGCAAATTTGAAATCTATTTTACATCTGGGGCCTGGACTGGAGAAATTCCTGGGTTGTCAGGCCTAGTCTTAGCAATTGCAAGCAACTACATCATGTAAAACTAAAAACTTGCAAAGGACCATCCTAAATTTAAATTGGCTTTTTGTTCTTCCTGCCCTGGTTGTGCAGCTTCTGGCAGTCTCATTTTTTGCTGACAAAAATATGTCTGCTCATTTTCGTCATGTGTATGTTTATGGACAGGTTATAGTTATTTGTTCTGGTGTTCACATCACCTTTGCCTAAATAAGTTCCTCCCCCACCCTCTCACACTCACCTCTTCAACGTTTTTGTGCAAGCAATCTCTCTCTCTCCCTTTTCATTTTGATGTGCTGAAACATTGAACTTCATTAAGGTCCTCTCACTTGACACACTCCTTTCTTACCCCCACTCCAGTAATCCTTCCAAGAAATTCATGCATCCTTTTAAGATAAGGATGGCCAGGACTCTCAAAGTGTTCCAGAAGAGATTTCAGCTGTGCCTTGCTTAATATTGTTTAATCAGTCTGTCCAGGATGCACCTTAGTGTGTTCTGAGATCACAAACGTCTTTTTCATGACAGCATCACATTGATGGGCCACAATCATCCATGATCAAATAATGCCCCCAGGTTCTTCTCTTTCTTTGTTGTCTTTCCAACTGATGAGTTTCCAGTCTATAACACATATGGGTTGTGAGATTTTTATTGCTGTAGGTACATGTTCTTGTGCTTTATGCTTTGAAATGTCATTCCATTTCAAGGTTATCCAAATTTTCCTGTGTGATATTCTTATCTTCCTTTGCATGTTAATGTTCCCAACTCTGTATCATCAGCAGATGTCAACAGTGTAAACCTTCTTTTATGCCAATTTGCCAGTGATTAAAATCTTAAATTAAAGTGCCTATAAGATGAATTTTTGAGGAATTCCACTAGTAGCCTCTTCTAGAAGGTTAATACTGCTCATTTTGGTTTGTTACCCAATTGGTGTTACCATGATTTTGCTGAAGATCTGCTACTTTGTGTTTGCAAAGGTAGTTATTGGAAGAGAGTAGGTATTTGTTCTGTAATGCATTTTCTTCAAACTCTCTTTTGCTCCCTTGATAGAAGCTGTGTATGTTACAGTGCTAAGCTTTTCAGGTTTTTAATTGCCTTATAAAGAGATTGTGAATAACTCTTATTACTCAGTAAATCCCCTGCTTATGAGGGGAATCACGAAAAGTTTCAATTTGATTGAAACAGAAATAATTTACTCTTTTGGAGAAAAAATTAATTACTATAATACGAGTCTTGTTCAACACCCACATAATTTCTTACTGTTAAGTACTTAATGTCATTAAATATTTGGCTTTGTGAAGAGACACCTCTGAGTGAAACTTTAGGTAAAGAGGAAGAAATTTTTAGCCAATATTTTAGTCCAAGTCCATATGTGTCCACTAAAGCAATGTAGTCCATAATAATTTTGAGGTCAATGATGTTTTCTACTTTTACAGGGAAATAAGTTTTCTGTAAAATAAAATACACACTCCAGTTTTATGTAAAATTTATTAGGAATGCTCGTTTTTCATTTTAAGGACAGTGTGAATTGAAATCCAGTCCTTTAATGAAAAAATGTGTGCATCTCATTGCAAGTGAAAACAAAATGAAACAAAATGTTTCCACTGTTCCTATTTCTACTCTTTCTTCAATAGGGACATATATTAATTCTCCTTTTCACTTGCCATCATTCAAACCAGTTAGTCACAGTATTGTGTGATTTCTCCTGATGTTTCTAGATTTTTTGTAGATTAATCAGATTGGCCTGAATTATGCTGAAATACAATTCAAATACAAGATATTGATGTTTTACATGCATTTTCCACATGGAAACAACACAATGTATTATCTACCATGACCAGAGTTACTTTTGCATGTAGTCAATGTGTGGGACATCAGTAGACTTCATTCAGGGTTTGGTACATTCAAGAAAGAAGGAAGCCTCAGCTTTCTCTGAAAGCATGTTCTCATTCCATGAGGAAATCAGTATGCTTTGGCAGGACAGAGAAGGCATGTTAGGATCTGTAGTTAACAAAGATTAGTGAAGCAGAGACTTAAGTAAGTACAAATTAACCAGCATACATACGTATTGAGTTATCAGAGTGAATAAGAGGAACTCAGTTCCAATTGTGTGGAGAAATCTTTAGTATTATAAAGGACTAGTTTGCTGTGGAGTATTAAAAAAAAAAATTTGACTCTGTTTTTCTCTGTACACATATCTAGGCACGTCTGAAATCTGATCCAAAGCTTTCATACACCTTCATACTTGTATAAGGTGCAGTTCACCTTTCCAAGAAAGCCAGACTTAGTTGCCTGAGTCTGTATGTTAATTTTCAGAATCCTGTGGTTCACAAATAATATTTATCTGCTATATTCATTCACTTGCAAGTAATATAATTTTTTTTAAAAATAGGGGTACTACAGAATAATTTCATCTTTAGGTGAGTGTAATTATTTTGCTCTTAGCCTTTGCAGGGCAATTTTGAGAATTTATGCTGAGGGGCATCAGATGTGACTGATTCCTATGAAAATGACTGTTCTCCACAGCACACTGTTAGAGTGTTAAAGGTCAGCTCTTAAAGCAACAAAAGACACATTTTTCCCTCACATAAAGACAAGCATGACCCTGGGTCCTGGGAGGCATTACTGGTTTTGCTATTAAACTCTCAGATTCTTCATTGCCAATTGTTCACTGCTTATGTTCCTCAGGCAGTCTTAAGAAAGCAAGTAGCTTCTTCCTGGGACAGTTGTAAATATTCAGTTTGATAAACAGTTTTTAAATATTTCAATATTAGCATCACTGAAATGCATACACTTATTTAGTGCCAAATACTAGGAGTGTGTTGCCTTGAATCTTTACCATTATAATTCTCACCCTGTCAGAAACTGTAGAATGTCTTTCTTTTGTCTTTCCTCGTTGCCAGTGTGAATTACCTGCCTGTATGTTTCTGAGAATGTGGTTTATGCACATCTGTTGATGACAGATTCTGTCTTCTGTGGCTCTAAAACTGTAGTGCTAATGAGCCTTTGTGATCTCAGTAGGGTGAAGAGAGATATAAATGAGACTGAAATTCACCCTAGCTCAGACAGTTTGAAATACGTCAGGCATATATAGTCCCAATTTATTACAATATCATTATCATCTGAATGTATTTAGATGCAAAACCTCACCAGGTTCTTGTCCAGCAGGAACTCAGTTTCCTGAGTTGGACCACAAAGGAAGTGACCTTGTGCTTAACTGCATTCCATTTGCCAACATCTTGATCTGCAGAGAAGATGATTTTATGGCTCCTAAGATTTGTGGGGCTATTTTGGTCATTTCGGAATGTGGTGGATATTTTTGTTGAATATGTTGTTCATTTTGGAGGGAAAGCACATTGTTTGTGAAATATGTTTTTACAGTGAGCTCCTAATGAAAAAGGCCCATACTTTGCAAGTCTGAACTAATTTCCAGTTTGTAGCCAAGGAATGTTTTATGCCAGGCAGATATCACTGTTCATAGGATTGAAGCTATATATATGCTTCTACATTTGGTAGAAAAATAGAACTAAAACTATTAAATGTTACATTTATTTATAAATATTCAATCTTAGTATTAAAATATTAAGATATATTCAGTTAGCACTTACTTGTCTTTAATTGCTAACTGTATGAAATTACTTGGAGTTAGTCTATGAATTGTTCATTAGCTGTTGACAGTAGACAGCATTTTAAGGATTCACCTTTCTAACTTGATTGTCCATCTAATTTGTATGCCTAAGTTGTCTTTTTCTTATAACATGTTTTTAATATATGTAGTCTTTGTAGTACTTATGTATCCCAGTGTTTCCTCATTCTTTCTTCATTTTTTGTTGCACAGTGTATTTTCTATGATTTGGCATCTCTAACATTTGTATTTACTTTGAGCTATCCTAATTCTGAAATGTATTTTGTACTTGAAGACAGAGAAATCTATTTTGAGCCTTTTCAAATCTGGTGTTTTTATCCCAGTGCACTGACAAAAAAGGGAAGGATTACCATTCAAATCTGTGGGTGACAAAGGAGATTAGGGAAGAGGATGCATCTCATCAACTATGCATGTCATAGTCTAGCTTTACATTTGAGCTTCACTCCTATCCCTTCTTATACCCTCTGGAGAGAGCAAGCAGCTTCTACAGTGTGGTTCATTTCATTTTGGTATGAATGTCTAGCAGGGTAGGTGAATTGTACCCTAAAGAACGCATTTCTCCCCACAGAGTGTGGAGGGGGCTGGGGGGCAGCGAGGGGAGCAGATCTAGAGCTGTACAATGGAACAGTCAAGTTGGCAACGATGAATTCCATCCCGGGCTACCAGTTCCACTGTTACTGGCCAAGCATCTCGTGTTTGCTTGAGTCCCATTGACTTAATGAAAACCCTCGAGCATATATCAATGCAGCGTAATTAATTTTGATAAGCAGAAGATTTTACTGATTGTTTTCCTGAAGCTTTTTGCAGTTATAGCCATATTTCTGTAAAAAAAATCAATAGTGTTCCTGTAAAAAATCAATAACTTTAAATAAGTTGAAGTACAGTGTCTGAAGTCAAAGGCACAATAAGGAGGCTAGTATAATTTTATGTATACTTTTAGGTGCACATTAAAAGAGAATTGTACACATTCAAACAGCATAAATGGTTGGTATAACATTTCACATGCACCTGATAAAGATCTGAAAATCCTGCTAAGTTTCCCTGCCAAATATCAGGTATGTACACCCAGTTTTATGTGTGTTTGTTTATTGTGACTTAAAATATGTAATTTTGTTGCTTATTGCAGCTTGTCTTCTTTTGCCACCATGTTCCATACGTTAGTTCCTCTTACCCCAACAATTGGCAAACATCTTGGAAATCTCAGTAAGCTCAATGATTCTCCTCCTCTCCTATGAAACATATCATTAAGCTACACTTCATGATGCTGAGTCAAAATTTCAAATATTTACTATGCTAACATTGCTTGGAAATGTTTCCAATTGTATCACTGTATCAGCTATTTTAATATTTCCAGTAACTGTATATCAAGTGCAGTATGGAAGTTCTGAGCTTTGTAACAAGTTAGAAAACATTCACTGGGACACATATGCTAGCAGAAATTCTTAAGTGCTCAATATTAGTCTTTACTCTGTATCGGTTCTCAGCACATGCAGCCTTGAATATTTGATTATCAACTATTGTGACTGGCCACCTAATCTGCACGCTATTGTTTCTGATTTCCTGATTGAATACACTAATGTAATCATATTTGTAAAGCATTTGCAGCCAGAAACAAAGGATAACTCATTACAATATAAGTTCTGTTTCATAATTAAGTACTCTTTGGTTATGGATACAAACGATCTCTCTCCGTGAAGATTCTTAAATATTTTTTAAAGGAATATAACAGCATATAACACAGCAATATTCTAGTTTTAAACTCCAAAATTATTTAAGATTGCTTGCTAACATACCATACAGATCCATTTTATTTCTGAAAGTAAGCAGTGCTGTTACTTTCAGATCTCTTTCTGTATTGCTTCTTCAGTTGGAAGAGTCACTCTCCTTTGAGACCTTACCTAGTGAATTGTTTGCTTTCACCACAAAAATTTTCGTTTTGTGCATTTCATCGTTCATTGTTCTCTGTAGAGACAAGGTGATGACTTAGCAAATATAACAAAAACCCCATTGTGTTTTTATTGTTTTATAGGTTGTTGTGACTGCAAATGTAAGCAAAATCCTTACTTTCTGTATGATAAAAATTGTAACAACCGTTGAAATATTTTATGAAAACGTAGTGCTGAAAAATTCATCCTGTTTCTGCAATCTAACCACTCCAATGGTAACTGACAACGGTATGTTTTACTATTAAATGTATTTAATGCTTATTCACTGTCCTTTGACACTGGGGACTACTGTATGAATACAGGCCTAATGAGTGTAAAAGTATGTAATGCTTTTTATTAAATGTCACTGAAGAAAAATAATTCATATTTTGTTGAGTGATGTGAGTATAATCACAGTGTTCTTGGTGATTAAAGTTTTGTTAATATAGAGTCCTCTGTGGAAGTAATAGCAGACATTACCCGGTGTCTGGAAGCAGCTTCTTCAGTTGACCCTGTGGCAGTGCAGTGCCTTAGCATTAGAATATTTATTTACATGGTGCCATTAATAACTGTCTAAGGAAACTTAAGATAACTGCAATGACAATCAAGCTGGCTGGAGCAATGGAAGCAGTGCTGGTTTAGTGCTTTGCCTTGACAAATTAACCCATCTTAACTCTTCTCTAATCTGCAAACCGAATTTGTTTTTGCAAGAAACTGTACTGGCATAAATAAGAGGAGAATCTAATTATGAATATCTGTACAATAAATAATCTTAACATTTAATTAACTGTTTCAACCTAACTTAGACACTGTGAGAAAGTGATTGTGCAATGTGGAAGATTAGCAGAAAAATAGATGGTTCAGGGGCAATTTGGTGGGTACATCCTTTTGACTTGATTTCATTCATCCTTCTGAATTATTGGTTGAATCATGTTGCAGTAATTCTGACACTGCTTTGTTCACCAGTGGTTCTCAGAGTTAGACACCTGAGCAATTTGTATTGGATGTGTGATGCTTGTGATCTGGTTTGTGTATCTAATGGGCGGCTACAAGTTTTAGAATGAGGTGGTAAATTACCGAATGTCTAGACCTTTGAGCTGTTCTTTAGGCTTTGGTCTCAAGGATCAGATAAAAATCATTCACAGTGGAGTCTTATTTGACTAATGGTAGGGCAACGTCCCCCTTGCATTTCTTCAAGAGTCTGTATAGAAGCACAAAGCTTTTTTAACAGAGATTGGCCTTATAACTTCTTAAAGTTGCTTATGTCAGAATGCAAGAGTTTTAATATAAACTAAGGAACACATAGCAAACACAAGGATTCCCACATGTTTTTAAGTGACTTGAAGAAGAAACAGAAAACAGACACATGCCTTGCCTTTATCTCTCCCTCAGTAATATAGCCCAAAGGACATGGAATACTGTGCATGAATCTGATTCTCTTATAAAAACCTTGGTGCAGGAAGAGGAATGAAATTTACCAGATACTTTCAAGGACCTGTTGTTTTGAAGAGCTCAGTGCTACAAAGAACTCTCTCTCTCAGGGACCCTTGCCCCTGAAGAAGGTTCTTTGGAATATCTGGATCTGAGTAGGCTGCATGGGAAAAACTCCTCAGCGTCACAGAAGTGTTGTGTCAAGTTCCTGTCCAGTGTTGGGAATTGAGAAGAAAAGACTGTCACTAGAAAGTGACAGCTGGAGTGATATCCATGAGTATTTTAATCCATTAAGCCTTCTTTAGTAAATACTATTAGTGGATTTTTAAGAGGGAAATGTCCTTTATTGGCCAGTCCCAAAAGCCATGTTATCTTGTAATTTTGGAGTATATAGCTTCACAGACTAAAGCTTTCTCTTAATTCCATTAGCAGGTTTTCAGAGAACAGTTGTTATGGAAGCCAGCTCACCTTGCCTGTGCTTTGTGCCAAAAATGAGCCCTCTGGCAGTGTTAACCAGAAGGCTGTGAGGTTAGCTTGTGCCTGCCAGTATTTACTGCTACTCACGTGCTCCTGTGAGCTGAGATCTCTTAGTGGATACTTCAAGTGTGAAGTAACATTGTTTATTTGTGGTATCTCCTGTAAAGTGACCTCAGTTTCACAAGAGGATGCACTTGCAAAACACCTTTAGGTATCATTTCCTGGAAAAAACATTTTGAAAATGCCTGCTACTCAGTGCAGTCTAATGCATTTTTAAAGGTCAGTGGAGACCATACAGAAAATAATAGGTTCCATTAATTTCAACATAGACAGAATCAGGAAAGCATATTTGACAGTGTTGTTTTTAAAGTATTTATACAAGTTTAAAAGTAAATACAAGCTCTGCCAGTAGGAGATAAATTCCTTACTTTTACTTACTACTTCTAGTGAAATACTAGGAGTATTTTACTCTTTCTCTAGCTCATGGCCTGAGACCTTTCTCATATCTTGATTTAGGCGAGTGATTTAGGCAATTGTGTATCAACACATCAGATTTTTGCTGATAACTAGATTTCTGGAGATGCAAACAGGTGCTTGATGAAGGATTTCAAAATGTCTGTCTGTACTCATCCACATCTTTAAGCATAAAAATGCTGTTAAAGCCAGATTCTGCTATCCATTTAGGAAGGAGTTTGAACTTGAGAGTGGTCCCAAGGGCTGTTTCTAACAAGCAGTTCAGATGAGTTTGCAGTGAGCACCCAAGTGCCATGCTGCCATGTGGAGGGAGGCGATACCTACATGAGCAACACAGATGTAGCCAAAGCTGGCTTTCATCTGAACAGGACAGCCTGTCATAAAGGCTAAGTTTTCTCTGTCTTTGCAAGATAGGTATACTTAAAATCTGTGTAACTTTTCTGGATTAAAAAGCTAGCTACTTTCTAGCGTAGAGAAGTCAGAAAAGTCTGCAAACATGGGTTTCATTTGATCCCAGGCAGCCATTCATTTCACAGACTACACATCTGCAGGCACACAGATGAAAGAGACCATGGTTTAAGTGGTATATATCCAATTCTACTGTTGGATGTGGTATTCTGCTCATAAGGGAAGATACTCTTTCATACCACAGCTGCCAGTGAATTGTTGGTATAGTAATTGCTAGCTGAAATAATGGCAAATTGACTCATGCAATCATAAAAGATTTAAATAGGATGAAAATTGCTACTGCATAGATTACAAAAGGAGACTCTGAAACCAAGTCTGTGAGACAGAAAGAGAGAGAAGTATGGTATGGTGGGGTCTCTTGCATTAGAACAGTCTGCTGTGTTAGAAGACAAATTCAGGGTCTGGTTATACCACAGTATATATATCACTCTGTGCTTTTTGAGAGATGATTTTATATCCCTGTTTCACAGTAGCATTTCCTTATCTATATCCTGACAATAACATTACTTTTATTTGTCATGCAATGGTGGTATCAAACTTAATTAATACATGTGTATAAAGCATTGGCATAACTCAGCTGAAGAGTTCTGTGGAAGGACAAAATCTGGTTATTTTTATCAGTCAGAAGCAGGAGTGAATGTATGAGAGAAGGTGCATACCAAGTATAGAACAGCTACTTTGAGTTTTCAACTCAAATTATTTTTGAAATGTTATTTCTTCTAATATCCATCATATACCTAACATGTGCATTTTTCCAGATTGTCTAGTTCTTGAAGCATCACTGTCCTCAAGCTCTTGGAATATCACACAAACATTTCAGTTGAAAAAGTAAGAGCCTGATTCTTGTTAAAGTTCATTGTGGGGTTGTTGTGTGTGGGGGGGGGGAAAGTGACTAAAGTCATTCATCATTATTTTTTCTTTTTTTTTTTCTGTATTTATCAAGGAACTACATGGCACTAAAGATAGTCAGATCTGTTTTCTTGGCCCACTTCCTCCTCCTTCTCTTTTTTTTTTTTTCCCTTAAAAAGCTATTTCTTCTGATGACTCCCTTATTTAATGGGACCTAACTGTAGGAGAGTCATTACAATGACTGAATTTATGACAAGTGCCTGAAGAGATAATAAAGGATGTCACAATAAGATTAAAATTCTTTTTGTCCTTTCATGAAAGGTGGGCCCCTGGTACTCAGTGTAAGGCCTAGATTAGAGAAGTCAAGAGATTCTTTAAAATCACTTTGTGAAGCTGTTTTAAATTAGACCCAGATGCAATTTAAATATGCTCTATAGGTAACATGAATATAATTAAACTAGAAAGTAACATGTAATCTGCTAATAGGAATAATGAATACCTATTCTTCTATACACATTATTTTTCAGACTCTCTGTTGAGAGCTGGCAGAGGAAGCATTCATGCCCAGTACGTGGCCTAACACTTTATGATAGGTGGTTGTTAATGTTTAGAAAGATCTGGCTAACATATGCTGTAGGTAACTACAGTGTTCCCATTCAGAATGCTCCTCCCCTATGCAAAAAGGCTCATTCATGGGATGAGATAAAACTCTTGCTTTTTGGGAAGTGGCACATCACTTCCCCGTCCCTGGCGGAACATGGGGAAGGAGCTGTCTTTCTCTAAATCAGAGCATTTCTCAGCATGTTTGGAGAGGGACTGTGCTGCTCTTGGCTCTCTTCCATATTGATAGAAGCATTGCAAAGCAAAATAGAGACTAAGTAGTCTCAGAACAGGAATATTTTTTGGTAGATGAAAGCTATAACAAACTGGCAATACTTTCTAGCACTACACATGGAACAGAGGTTCAGACAAGCTGAAAAAAAATCAGTGATGGTTTTCTGCCCTTTTATGGTTAAAAAGTACTACCTGTCCACTCAATGTACTGGAGTAAATCACAGTAAAATGTAACCCAAAGTGTTTCCTCTGCTTCCTGCCTTTTTTGAAATTAATGACTTTCAGCATCTCAGTACAGATTGTATTTCATACTAAATTTCTTCTCAGAATAAGTACAGCAGAACAATGGGCTTGGAGGGTAAATGGACTTTTATTCATCTCATTACATATTTGCTTGGTTGTTCCCTTGGGTTTATGCTCTTTTCTGTCACTTGAAATTTGACATTCATGACTGAATCTAGATTGAGTTCCTGTGTCTTACAAAAACTCTGTTTCTGTTACCAGCTGCTCACGGTGTATACACAAGGGTGAGTGTGCCAGCTGTGAATGGATACGTGTCTCTCCTGTCACCACCTGCCAGGTGAAGTTCGTTGGGGAAAACTGGAATCCCCTGTGATGCCTTTTCCTTGTATTTTTTTATCTGAGCAGCAATCTGTCTCTTTTCTATCCTGACATGGTGAAATGCTTATTTTTTTCCAGGATGATTGCAGTGCAGCTGCTTCCAAGGGGATCACTGCTGTGCAGAAAAGAGAGGTCAGTTAGCATTTTAAGATCAGCGTTATTAAGGCTCTCTGGATTGGGGGAGAAATTTATTTAAAATCAGAGGACTTTGCAGAAAAAATAGAGAAATGGATGAGGAGGAAGTCATTTGCAAAGGAGGGTAATGCAGAATTTGGATTGATGCTATTTCTTCTTAGTGCTCTATTGGTGTTAAAAGGTACCAGCAAAAATTTGTGTTTCAGATGCAAGCATTGAGGCAGTGAACACTGCAATTGTCATGTGCCTACCTCTAGATGCAGTGTTTACAACATTGCTTTAAATGCCAAAGTCCCTGTATGCTGTATTTAGTCACTCCACAGGAGCCAGCACGCTGAGGGCTGGAACATGTGAGCTGACCAACAACAACAAAAAAAGCAGAACATTTCAGGCTTAATATCTTACCTAGACTTAAAAGCATGTTTGAGTTCTGCTGTCACAGACAACTCTGGGAAACTAGGCTTCAGAGTCTCAAACCTCTTCCTCATTTTATGCAGCCAGATCACAGCTTCCCCTGAAACATAGCTGCCAGGGGAGCAGAAGGAAGGGGAGGATGTGCCACCCAGTTTCTGCATAACAGAGAAGTGGCTAGAGGATGAGTCCAGGAACTGAAATCCATGGGTGTTAGTAAATCTCTAGTTCACACTTTGAGAAAAATTTTCCTTGTTTCCAGGCTGTAGACAAAACTGGAGATGGATCCACACAAGCTGGATCACTGGGAAGGAAGAAGTGTCACTAGTGCTGCCAAAGTACCTGCTGAATCTGGTTACTAAATTCTCTACAGAATTCATATAGATTGTATGTGTGCATACAGTCTAAATGATTTGTCTCATAGGCCAGCCCTTTAACCTTCTGATCATAGGTCAGCCCTTTAACCACAAGGTTATCCCTTCATTCTTTATGGAACCAAAATCTTTTTATTTTCTCTCCAAACTGAGTGATCTTTTTATCAGTGGTTGCTTATGACAGGTGTTAGGAAAGAAATGAGTAGTGGAGAGAAAACTGACTGATGAGTAAGTACATAGAGATTTGCTGCCTACACTTTTTGGTTTCTGCTTTTCTGAGAGTGATGCACAGTTGTTATAAATAGTGACTTATCTCTAAGTGTTTCATTAGAACTACCCAGACTTTTACCTCTAAGACAGGGATTGCCTCTTAAATTCAGCTGCTCAGCTGATGTTTCTTAAGCAAAATCACAAAATACATCTTGTTTTTCACAGAGACATGTGGGATTGTAATACTTGTGGTTCTGAGCATTAATATTCTGGATTTGATCTGCATTTAAAGCATTATGGCTGGTGAAACAGAGGAAATTCTTCTTTGCTCTGCTTCCAAGTGCATTAATTTGACATTGGTAAATAGTTGGAATTGCCTAGGAGATGGCTTTCTTCCACATGCCTTATCTTGGAAAGACAGTGATGGACAAGGCAGTGAAAGCACCAGAGGCAGTGTAAAGGCAGATGTTTATTTAGAAGTGATTGATCCATTCAGAGAGCTTGAAATTGCATTTGAAATCCTGCTCTTCTTTGACTGCTTGTGCTTTAAGGAGAACATACTGGAGAGTGGAGAAAGAGGATTTGTGTTTTCCCACAGCCCCAGCTGAGCATTTAGATTAATATACTTTTTTTCAGTGCCAGCCCCAGCCCTCCTCCTGACTCCAGCTGCTGGTTTCTATGCATGCACCTTCCCCCTCCCCTGCCAGAGCAGCAGCTGGAGTGGTTGGATTGAGTACCCTTGGCTAGGGAGCTGCTTTGTCTGGAAATAAGTGTTATCTTTCAGCAGGTTGTTGTTTGTCTGGACCAGTTCCCCCATCCAGCTCTTCGGGGCTGTGTGTCAGCAATGCAGGAGGGGCTGTGCCAGGGAGGGGCTCCCCAGCGTGGCAGACCCTGCCCCACCTGGGCTGCTGCCAGGTACTCTGTGACACCTGCAGCCATGCTCAGCTCACCTCTGAGGACATGGCTGCCATGGTTCACACGGCCCCCGGGAAGTGTTGGGCTGTCCAGGGGAGGGGGGAGGAGGCTGCAGCTCAGAAATATGGAACTCTATTGAAGCTGACAGGGCTGTGCTGATTTACATTACCTGAGGACCTGGTGCATGCTGTCTGTATGTCTCTTTGCATGTTAACGCTTTAATCACATGCCTCACAACTAGTGATTTTTATAAATATCCTTCTGCCTCTCTGCTGTGGCCCCTCTTGCCCCTGAGCATTGCTCCCCCTGCCATGTAGCAGCTGGAAGGTCAGGGGCTGTCAGGCGCTGGGGAAATGAGCACTGCAGAGCCCAGGGAGGGCACTGGGTCCTTCCTGTTTTCAGTGAGGAAATCATTGGGTTCCTTTGCTGCTGAGGCAAGTGTTGCAGATTATGGCAGTCAGGTTGGGTGGGAGGTGGACTCTTGAGTAGCTGAGGTCACCTTGCCTCGGTGCTGTGGCTGCACTGACTCCAGGAGGCCAAGGCAGGGTGCTGTGAGGGGCTCTGCTGTGCAGCCTCAGGGAAGGGATGATTGCACAGGGGACTGAAACTTTCCGTGAACAATACTTCCCGTGATTTCTTTGTGTGTAAGAAAAGAAGCAAGGCAGGTCATCTGAAGCACTCTGGGGTGTGTGGTGCCTGGCAAAGAGAGCAGTGGGAGCCCTGAGGCACCACAGTGAAACGCTGCCCCCCTGAGCAATGGGTGCCTGGCATTTCCCTCACCGGGGTTCACAGCCCTGATGCAGTCTGGGAATCTCCATGTGTTTGTGTGATGCTGTGGTATTCTGTGCTTCAGGGATCCCTGGTGGTTACCAGTGAGAACCCAAAACAGTGTTTTCCTCCTTTCTGTGCTATTTGGCTTCTGAATTTGTGTGAGGATATTGACTGTCCTTGGTGCACTAGAGGTTGGACACAAGCAGAAAGATGCAGGTAAAGAAACAGTGGTTTGTTTGCTTTAATATCTTAGATTTCTGCTTCACTTGTCCTGTCCCAAGGATTAAACTGATTTCCAGATCATCGTGGGAGTGAATTTTCCCCCTCAGGCTGTTTGTGAGGGATTTCCTTTGCCTTCCTCTATTATCCACACAAGAGGTCATCTTGGAGGCCCTTTTACAGGACCTCTGGCCCCAGCCTTTGCACTCTCTGGCCTTTTCCTAAGGCACAAGCTGCAGCTTTCAGTCAGTGCTGACAGATGCCTCATTTGCTCTGGGGTGCTCTGGCATTCAGTGAACCGTGGCAGCGTGTGGGGACAATGTGCAGGGACCTTTTTGAAATGGTCAAAGTGTTGTGACCCCGATGGTCCCTCAGGCTACCAGCCCAAAATCTTAGTGCTGCTTTGGGTACATGAAATTATTAATGGTGAGAAAAACCTGTAGGATGGACTTTCCTAGAGGCTGTGCACCAGCACCCTTAACAGGATCAGGAAGACTGAACTTCCCAATGAATGTGTCCAGGGGTGCACAGCAAAAATCAGGATAATCGCAATGCTCTAAAAACTCAAATTAAACTAGTAGTACAGGCAGTCTAAAGTTAAGCTAAAAATGGTTTGCCAGAGCAGGTCCCAAACAGTTTGTGGTTTCACATGCGTATTTTCCTGTTTTTTTGAATGTTTCAGTTTGTTGTCTGAAAGATAGAGAGGAAGCTGTCTGTGTGATTGTAAAACTGGGGAAGCAGCAAAACTGATTAAACATGAGATGCTGTTAAAAGTATCAAGAGAATACAGTAGGGAAAAAATATCTCTTCTTGCTCAATAGTGTTAGTAAGTTAGAATAAGTAAACACAGACAAAGAAGAGCACAGTTTCTGCAAGACTGTGACAACGTCACAGCAAACTAGAGTTGTTTCTAAATGCTGGAGAACTTCTTAGCCTAAAAATAAGGTACCAAAAGACTCCCCTGCAGTTGTTTTATACCTTTAATTCTGTGTATGACTTTGAAAAGACTTTCTACTAAAGCTAATTCTGGGGTGCTTTCTCAAATTTTCATTCGAGGATTTCACCCTGCTTCCCCTTTTCAGGTCATAAAAGATGCCTTCATTTGTTCATCTGATCTCTCATAGTGACAGCACCATGGGTTTTGTCTTGCCTTTTTTTTTTAGTTCTTCAGGGGTCACATGAAATGTATCATTTCAAGCTGGGTTTTTATGCTACCTACCTTCCAGCATGTCAGACTGATTTCTTTAGGCAACTTGCTTATGAGATAAATTGAAATATAAAATATGTAGGCGAAAATAGTTGCTTTGTAATGAAGTTGTGATTGACAGTACTTCCCAGGATTAAGTTAAACAGGATTTAAAATTATTAATAAAAATGTATCCCAGTGCCATGAAATCTGTGTTCCTGAGTGCTGGTTGTTTTTACAGCTGTTGCTTATCTGCCCAGCCTTTTCATAACCAGATCTTGTTTTGCTTTCTTTCCTAATAGCATATCAGCATTCAATCCATTGAACCTTTGTGGATTTCTACATTAGGCAAAAGTGAAATAACAGTCAAAGGAGAAAACTTTACACGTGCATCAGGCATAAAACTGATACTGACTGGAATCACTGGCTGTAAACCAGACGTGTGAGTTAAACTGAAAAATAACACTATTTACTTTGCATCCATTTAGCTCTAGCAATATGGTTGTGTGAGTAGTTGTCATATAACTCTCCTCAGCAGAGCAGAGGATGTTCTGCACTCCTTTAGTCAAACTTTCACTTTAAATTACCAAGGGCTGAAAATGAATTTGGTGTTTGAGTACAACACAAAGGATGGGCGGGTTGTCAGATCTCTCAGTGGCAGTGGGACAGTTTCATATCTGTGGCTCTCTATGCCTTCTAGCAAGCACCAAGAAGCCAGGTCACAGGAAAGCTTCAGTTTTTGTTTGAATCTCCTCTGCTTCAAAATATTCCTCATATATTCTAGGATTCTGCTTGTAAAGCACAGACACCATGCCAGGGAATGAAATCTCTTGTACAACAGCTCCTATTTTTCTCTGTTGATGATCACACTGTGTAAGCCCCTAGATAATTAGGCAGTCTTATTCTGAATCAGTTATTTTCAGGTGCAGCTGCAATGGTTGCCTGTGATTAGGAAGCCCATTTTACATAGCTAGCACTTGAAAAGGTAGTGTTCAATTTTTGCTTCAACCATGAATTTTCAGGGAACCACTGAGAAAAAAGGAGAGAAGGAGGGTAAGACAGGAAGTAGAGAGAAAGAGGAAGGAGTGAAAAAAATGGGAGAAAAGAGAGAAAAAAAGAAGAAAGAAAAGGAAAATGAAGATTGTCATTCTTGACTAGCTTATGGAGCATGCTGTTGGCACAGAGAAGTACACAGTAAACAGCAAAATCACACATTACATAGCCTCATCCCAGGGTTGATTATCTATACTGTTTTGTGTGATTATTGTCACATAGCAACTTCATTCAAAAGATGCCCTACTTTGTCTCTTCAACTCCCTGCTCTCTCTTTCCACCTCCATCTGGCTCAGACAGAGATTCAGTTCTCTTTTCTCCTTGTCTCCTGCTGTAGGCTATGGGCTTCATGTAGTAACACCAGTAAGTGGCATCTTGTGTTTCAGTGTTTGTTTTCTTTCTTCTTCAGCATTAAAGTCAGAAATGTGCTAAATGATACACAAATGACATTTGCTCTCCCACCAACACGTAAAGAGGCCAAAAGTATATGTATCCAGGCTAATGGGAAAAAATGTTCACCACCAATGACCCTGCATTATGTTTCTCTGCCATCATGTTCTAGAATTACACCAAATACCTCCTGGATCAGGTAAGTTTGTCTTCTTGTACTTTTTATGTATTTATTCAAATGTAATTGCACTGAGCCAATATGAGCCTTCTTCCTTGGCCAGACTGCACCTGAAGCAAGCTTGGAAGACTGCTGTAAGCTTTGTGTTGAATAAATTTATGCCTGTGAAGTGATTTAACAGATAGGGTCATAGTAGATGCAAGATGGATTCTGTAGACTTCTGCCTACCTCAGGTCTCCTTTACAGAAGTCAAAAGTAGTCTATTCCTACTAAACCTAAACCCAAAACATGGATAGCAGAAATTTTACCTCCAATTAATTTGATTTCTTGATGCTAATATAGCCTTCATCTGTGAAACGGTATAAAGTATCAGTGGATTGGAAGTGAAGTGAAAATAATCATCATTGCACTGATGTACACAGACTTGCTTTACAATATGATTCCCTAAAGCCAAGAGAGCCCTTTTCAAGCCTTTGCTGTGTTCTGCAGAAAACTCACAGACCTGGTGAAAGACTTACAGTGGTTTTAAGGATATTCTCTGGCACAGCTTTCCACCTGTCCCTCTGCTTTCACAGTTTTTACCTGTTCTCACGTTCTGAATCTGATATCTTGTCAAGTGAGGATTTGAGGGAATGGGTTGGGCTGGCAGCTGCAGCAGCTAAGCAGCCAGGATGCATGCCCTCATCTCCAGGTGAGAGGCAGCTCAGGCAGCTGGATATTAATCATACCTTTAGCCACTCCAACTCTGTAGAGCAGAGACTGTGAGCCACAGCCCTCAGACACAAGCGGCATTGTGTGCTGAGACAGATGGTCTGAACACCACCGAGAACGTTTCCTGTGAGGAGCCTGGCACAGTGAGTTTGTCCTGAAGAAGCAAGAATTGAGCACAGGCAGGGCTGTGCTGGGGCAGTGAAACACCACAACGCTCTTTCTTCGAGACAGAATATTAAATCATGGTTGGGTTCCTTGGCTGCATAAATAGAAAAAAAGGTGAAGAGTCCCTGAGAAGGAGTATGCATGTGTGTGCAATCAAGTCCTGTGGTTTTGGGGTAGCAAAAGTATTTACCATGACATTATGAGGAAAGAGTGGAAGTACACTGTATAGCTCAAATTACCTTGTTCTGTAGTTTGACTTTATTATATTGTCTGCTACCAAAGCAAAATGCACTTGAGTAGTTTAATCACAGCTGAAACCTTAATGCAGGATGTGTCTGTGGGAAGAGAGATAATATTAACCTCCCTTTCTCACCACGTTTGTTTTTGTGTTTTGTTTTGCTTTGGTTTTTGCAGTGGTGGTCGCAAAATTACCACAACTGGTAGAAATTTTAATGTGGTGGACAGTGTGATTATTTCAGATGACCAGAGATCAAACCTCACAGTAAGTCTGAACCTCCTTTATAATACCAGATAGAGGTCTCTTGATGCATTAGGTTGTTTTCCTAAGGTTTGAGGAGAAGAGACCTCAATAATTTCCAGCCATTTGCACGAACATGTCAGTCACCCTGCTGAAATAAATATGACCACTTACGGGATTACAGTTATACACATTCTTAGCACAGACTCACAAATACACATGAGCTGCTCTCCTGCATAATTCCCTGAGCTTTTTTTATGGTCTAGGGACAAATCTGTCCTTTTTGAGTCTCCCCAGTCTCCACATTTGGGTGTGTTGGAGGAGGGGGTGCTATGCTTCCCTCTGGCTCTGTGCTGAAAGCCCACAGGGTGCCACTGCCTCAGTGAGGGGCAGCAGGCTGGAGCTGAGGTTGGGATGAAACCTCACAACCTTTCTCCAAGGTTGTGAGGAGGTAAGCACTTTGTTGACCCTTGCAGCACAGAGACCAGAACACAGCACAATCACCATGGGGTAAACAATGACCCAATGCTACAAGGACTGTAGCAACCCCTTCTCTCAGGAGTTAAGTTAGAAAGAGCAAATTCCTAGGAGTGCTGAAGAGCTTGTCTTACTCTTCTCTTGTCACCTGCATTGAGGGGAAAGAAGGAAAATTCATTGTCACAATTCCTGTCTCATTGCAGGAAATAGTTACCCTAGCAGTGAGCAATCAGCCTTAAACCAGGGCGCAGAGTGTGTGACAAATGCAGTTAAAGGTAGACATGAGCTCAAGACAGAAATTTTTCCAGGTGCTCTGCATGCAGCAGAAGATCTCAGAGATCTCAGAGAAGAGGTTTAGCCGGTAGCTGTGTGAAGCCAGGAAGATATTAAAATAAATTTGAGTGCCTCTGTTTGTGATTGTACCCACTGTTGAGTATTTAATGACTGTGAGAACTTTGCTATTGCATTTCTAGGTCTCTAGGTGTCCTGGAAATGCATCTGAATATCATTATTTAACGCCAAGCCTGAGCCATGCAACAGAGGGTAAAGTTGTTGATATGATGTTAAAAGTGGATACTACCTTCATACCTTGTGTCAAATTACACTATCACCCAGACCCAGTGTTCATTAACTACCAGCTGCACACTGAACTGGATCCTGATCTGGAATTAAAAATATATGTAAGTTTTGAAATAGTAAACTACAGTACCTAATTTAAAATAGTGCTTGGAAATAATTTTTTTTCTTACTATATTTAGTGACTGATCATTGCCTTCAATTTTTTCCCTCTAGAAAGAAAATGATAACTTGAATATTTCTAAAACGGAGGTAGAGGTTTATCTATTATATATGACTGGTGCACAGACCAAAAAGATATGGTTCAGTGTCCAAAATATTACCAAAAAGCCAGACCGCAGCACCATACTGTGCAAATTCAAAAGGGAAGGAACCGACAAGATTGACTTTTCCACTGTGAAAGTTTTTGTAAGTAGAAATCCCTTTTGTTGCAATTCAGCAGCGTTTGAATGTTTATACAAGAGTAGTGAAATGTATCATTGGTGCTGTCCTGGTACTTGGTAGTACAGTTTTCTTCCTCATGCCTAAGCATGCCTGCCTAGCTTAGGTGCACTGACAGACCTGAGTTCATTTTCTGTGGGGTGGTGTCAGAGGTGAGCTTTGCAGGCAGAGCTGAGCTCACTGCTGCTGAGCTCCAGGAGAGCAGTAGCAGTCACACCTCTAATCTGCAGAGCAGACATCATTGGAACAGCATCACTGTCTCCAGGAGAGCCCCTCATCTTACATCTGTAAGCAATCTAATTCTCCATTGGCCATGAGGAAAATGTGTTCTCCCAGTCACTTTTTCCTGCTAAAGTAGGTAAGGATGTGTCTCAGGGATCACCAGTGAAACAGAAGGCATTTCTAGATGAAAAATGGGGTGGAATTCAATGTGCACTGGGAAAGCTAAAATGCTTTGAGCATGTGGCACAAAGCCAGGCCCAAATATAAGGACATTAGCATGGATGTCAAAGCTGAATTGCAGCTTAAGATATTTGCTCCACGAATAAGATGAAGATACAAATTTTTTAAATGCTATGATTACCATTTATGAAGGAGAAAAATTATGCCAGACTCTTATTGCAGTGTATGGTGGTATAAAACTGAAATAACTCTATTGACTTCAAGGCATATGGCTCATAGTAAAGATTAACCAAGCTATTCTTGATTTTTTATCACTTTTAACTGATCCCCCATCTGTGGATCCTGCCATCTGAGCCAGTTATGGCATGGAAAAGCCTTTCTGAGTTTGGTGTTGCATTTAAAAATCAATGTTGCCCTGCTCTATCACATGCTCATCCTGCAGACTTCATAGAAGTGACTGTCATAGAAAGGCCAGCACTTTACTAAAGCAAATCAAATGCAATAAGTTACCATGAAACATTTCATTTCTAGTACCTTTAAAATTTTTTTCCAACATAAGAAAAATATAGAAGTAGCAAATCCTCACATTTTTTAAAACCTTATGAATAGATCATCATAGAAGAAGTAGGGCCACTGAAAAAAAGGATAAGATGGGTATAAAATATAAGTTTGACTCAAGAATAAATGTATCTCTGGCCTTAGTTTTCCAGAAGAAATAAGATATTGAGTGTGGGTTCAAAGACAGAATGATCAGTCTGCATGAAGGTGTCAGAGAAGAAAATGCCATTCTTGTGGCAGAAGGAAGATTCAGATAGATCAAAGGGCTCAAGACAGCAGGAGCAGGATCATTCCCATCACAGCACTGAGGGAAAACTGACACATGACAATGTAGGCTTAGTAGGAAAGATTTTAAATAAAACAGAGGTCAGGAGACGTGTGACTGGAGAGCAGCAAATAAAAACTCAGTATTTTACATTGGAAAAACCCCCAAACCCTAGGCAAATGGAGGCTTGCTGATTTAATCCTGGCTCTATGTAACACTTGAGAATGTATTCTGAATTACTCATTAAAGACCTGGAGGTAAGTGAAAAATGGGATAATTGTCAAAATCTTTTTAATGAAAACAGATCATGCTAGATGTCTTCATTTTCTAAGATGAGTGTTTTCCTCAACAACAAAAAAGCTATAAATCACATGTACCTGGAAGTCATTCAGTAAACTATTTAACATGGTGATTATGAGGCTGCCAGGGGTTAGAAAAATCACATGCTGTGTGTGGGGAGCTGGCTCTGGGCAATGCTGATATTCATACAGATATTCTTTAATATCACCACTGACTTGAACACAAAAATCAGGCATGCACTGGTAACATAAAGCTCAGAGGCATTACCAGGCCAGAGAATGTTTTATAATGTCATGCGGAAAAATGAAATTAATTTAGGAATAGCAACTGGATTAATTCAGGTGTACCTTACATAGTCTGTGATTCATAAGCAAGAAAAAAGATAAGGAAAGAATGAGACCACTAGATAGGAAGCTTATGGTGAAGAATAAAGATAATTGAAATAAAAGCAGATAATTAAGTGAATGCTTTGTCTCACTTTTCAAAAAACAAGGATGAGTAAAAGAAATTTCTGCTTTAGGAAATCTTCATTTGGACATGAGAAGTCTAGAAAAGTAGATGTGTTAGTCACAGGATGGGTAATGAATTTAGCCACTAATGCATTTGAGCCTTGGAAAAGGCTAATGGGGGTCCTAGGAAGGCACAGACCAGAAGGGCTTTGCATAGGAACTGTGAAAACATAGAAACATCAGAGGAAAAAGTAACATTTGATGAAGGAAATAGATCTGCTTTGTCTTCTGTTCCTTGTAGCCCCAGAAATATAAAGGCTGTGTCCTTCCAGCCCTGTGGGTTTTCTGCTTGCTTGTGTCTGTGTAGCTGTGATGTGAGTCTCCATTTGGCAGTCTGCAGCTGCCCTGGCTGCTCACCTCCTGTGACAAGCCACTGATTGCAATCACCAGATCTCTGCCTTCCCTGCTGTAACCCAAAATAATTTCAACTCAACCCTCCTTTTCAATTATCTCAAGATCATTTCTGTCCCTGGCACTTGGTGGTATTCTTTTTATGTGCCAAAACATATTTTTGTGTCTAGCCTGTTTATAGCTTTAGCTACCCTTTATTTATGTGCTTTTGCAGTCCTCTTTCAGATCCTCCTTTGTGAATTTTCTCCTGCCATAATTATCAGTGGTAAATGCCTCAGTTTGGCATTTGGCAGACTTCAGCACTTTCCTGTATCCCTAAGAATTAATGCCTGTCCTGCCTTTGCCAAGCCCATGGCTGGGGGATGTTGTACATGTATTGTAACATGTTCATGTACATGTTGTACCTGTACTGTATGTTGCATTTTTTTTAATGACCCTCAGGAACAGCGTCCTACACAAAGGGGTTGAAACTTCCTCAGAGAAATAGGGAAGAGGGCTGTAGACCAGGTGTCTCTGAAAAAATTCTACTTCCCTCATTCTTATTATGAGGCTTATCTTACTTTTCTGCTCAGCAGAGTAACACTGTGAGTGCAAACACATGACTTCCTTGTTTCAAAATGCCACAATGTTTAGCTGCAGCTCTGAGTGCATCAGCCACTTGGCCCAGCTGGAGGCCAGATCTTGCCTTTCATTTGAGGGTCTACTTTGCAGCAAGAGCATGGCAAAATTTGGTGGTACATGAGGACTTCTAAATTTTTTCATCATTGCTCTGTTACCCTGCTTAAATATCAAATACAGTAAAATTTAAGTTAATGTTGGTTCATATGCATTTTGATGAATCTCTACTGTTATTCCCAATAATCTACCATTGTCCTTATGTGCCTTAAGTACTTTTTTTAAAATACATTAGATGTCGTTTTTAGCACTGATATAATGCCTGTCCTCTATTAACACAGCCATTGCTTTTCTTCAGGTCAAACTAGGAAATTTTGAGCATGAAGTCAAACCAACATCATCACACATATATTTATATGTTCTTATTTTGCTACCTATTGTGGTGGGTGTCATTATAGGTAAGTACAATAATGTATTATCAGCTTTTGATTTGCTGGAGGGTGTGATCAGGACATAGACACTGCACATACTCATGTCTGGAACTGTCACAAACAGACTGATGTTTTGCCCTGTTCCCAATAAGAGTGGACAAAGTTAACTCTGTTCTGGTGGTGAAATCTGAGTTGTCAGACTGCAGCACATCACGAGCATGTTACAAGACAGTAACATTTCTGTCTGTTCTGCTGGGATTACTCACTTTCACTTCATAAAGCAAGCCACAGAACTGACATCCTTGAGTCACAGCTTGGTCCCTTCCAGCTGTCAGAGCTCAGCTACCCTCCTGTCCCTGGGGCAGATGTACCCTAACAAACTGCCTATCCTCAGTCAGTGTTTGTGGTGTTTCTGCCCAGTCTCATTTGGATGATGCATGAATTTGTGGGTCATTACTAAACTGAGGGAGGTAAATAGTTATCCCCTTCTCTTCCTGGTGCTCCCTTTTTTTTGAGTCTTTTTACCTGGTTATATATTTGATAAACTTCTATTTATTTTAATAAGTATAGGGGTTTGTTCATTTGGTTGATTGCTTTTTTTAAAGTTCATTTTAAAAAGGAGCCATATGTCACACCTTTATTCTCTCTAAATAAGCTTTAGAAAAGTTAACAATTTGTAAGTGGATTTTCTGTTCAACTGATTTTTTTGTTTAATCAGTGCTACCTTAAGTAGGTTGCTATTAGTAGAAGTGGTTGTTAGAGTCTGTGTCTCACTGTGCAGGCTGTGTATAACAGGATATGCTGCACTTTCAAATAAAGTTGGGTTGACAATTCAAGACCTTGTTAAAAGGAATGATTTTTCTAAAGATTGGGGTATATATAGATCCAGATAACTAGGGGTCATGGGTACTAGTACAGGGACAACAATAAAACACTAATTGTGCAAATGTACATTAATCTTTGTGTTTCTTGATAATAAATTATGTCTTGTATAGGAGTTTTCTGTTTTGTGATTTCTGTACTCAGAGTTTTTTCTCTTCCTTTTAGCGGCATTCATAGTTACTAGATACAAATCCAAAGAGTTAACTCGTAAACAGAGTCAGCAACTTGAGCTGCTGGAGTATGAGATTCGTAAGGAAATACGTGAGGGTAGGTCTGCAGCATATTTTCTGAACTGAAACTGTCAAGAAGCTCCCATTATATAAACATTTTCCTTTTGTAGCTGTTAGAATATTTTAGTGTTGTATCAGAGTTGCTGTTTAATATTGTAAGCACTGCAGTAGCAGATAGCGCTGAGCTAATAGGATTGCATGTAGTATTTCCTTCAACAAAAAAGTAGATTGCTACTTTCCAGCTCCTAGGAGCTTCAGCTGTAAAAACAGCCCCTTTTCCCTGAAAACTGTTTTTGAAGGAATATCTACTGGGGCCAAGTTATAGTGGTGATTTTGTGTCAACTAAACTAACTCTCTGGGTGGGGATGGGGGGGTGCTTTTCCAGGATTTGCTGAACTGCAGATGGATGAATTAGATGTGGTGGACAGTTTTGGAACGGTTCCCTTCCTTGACTACAAGCACTTTGCTCTTAGAACTTTCTTTCCAGAGGTAAATATTTACAAGTCTTTCAGTTGTCAGCCCTGACTAATAGTAAAAAATTGAGGAAGGTCAGGATCAAATAACTAAAGGAAATACTACACAGTAATTGCACGTTGTTCTCACAAGAAACTTTTCTTAAATTAAGAATTACCAAACAACGCTTAAATATATCTCTATATTTAGCCAAGCCTTTGTGCTGTAGATAAAGCAATATTCTTGAATTTTCAAGGGTTGTGTGTGTCCATTTATTTTTGTTCAGCCTCACTGAGCTGCTTGCCTTTCAGGCCATCTTAACTAAGCTATAATTTATCCATTGCTCTTTTTTGTTCCCATGCTTTCACTTCCAATGCTATAGCTAATTAAAGTAACAGTCAGGCCAGCTAACATGCTAGCTAACATCATGACACTTCCTAATTAGATTTGTGGGATGAAGAAATGGCTCTAAGATGGTGCTGACTTTCTACACCAAGGTGGTGACAGAAATGGTAAGATGTTGATTCAAAGGGGTGCAGCTCAAATGCTTAGAAATGACATGAGTAGTTACGTGCTTTCCAGTTTAGAGGCAGATATTTTCAGTGTTTGTCGAAGCAGTTTGGCCACTGCATCAGATGTTCTCTTGAATGTTTTACTTCTCTTACTAATTTTTTTTGCCTGTGTGGCATTATCAGCCTCATAATGCCATTATCAGCCTCATAATGCCATTATCAGCCTCATAATGGCATTATGAGGCTGATAAGTGCCTTTGCCACAGCTTTCAATATTAATACCGTGAAGGTAACCAGTACTTCCGAGCATTTATCCAATTGGCAGAAGCTGTGATCCCAACTGGTGATATTTTCCTGTATGACTGGCACCAGTAAGTAGCAGCTTGGTTAGTTTAGGGCATAACTGGTATGGATGTGAATTATCTACCAGGCTTCATGTATTACTCATCACTGCTGCAGCCAGGTCTTGCACTCATGTCTGCTCACTGCTTCACTCCATTGCTGTTTGTGATCCTAGCAAAGGCTCATTGTGATAAAGTTAAATACATGTGGCAGTGCAGAATCAGGGCTTTGGTATTTGCTTAAAACCAAATACCAGACACCAAAGCAGAATAATATTTAGCAATTACATATGTAAAATCCCTGTATCATTTGAGTCCAGTTCTCACACCAAAGGGAAAATCTCTGCTGGTACTACTGTTATGCCCCTAGTCTAATTTTTAGAGGGTCACCAGGTGGTTTGAAGAAAGTGGAAAAGAAACTTTACTTCCTGTATCTCTTTCCTTTCTGTTTGTTTTGTGTCCAGGCATATTGGCATTAAAATAGCATTTTATTCTTAAGAATGTACCTTTTCCTATACTTTCCCTTGTCAAAACAGTAGTAGTCTGTGGAAGCTGACTCGGTGGAAATGCTGTGCTCTATGCAAATAAAAAGTTAAGAAAAAAAGGTATAAAATTTGCCACTGCTGCAGTCTGTAAAGTAAAAATGGGAAGGGCTCCTGTTCTGCCTTGGTGAGTCTCATGCCACTGCACATCCTGGAAATTATTTCAGTTGGATTTAGTCTCCGTTTGAAATACTTATCCCACAAAGGTACACTTGCTACTGTTAGCTCTCTACAAACATACAGTGTCAGGCAACTTACTTAAACTGTTGTATAGCAATTTCTTCTGCTAAGTACTTACTGTTTACATTGCAGTAGTGTCCAAACATGCCTTGTGCTGTAAGAATGTGGCAGAAAAGCAGTGCTCCACTGAACAAATATTATAGAAGATCAGAAAAGCCAGTGGGGTATATGTTGCAGCTGAGTGTCAGAAGGGTTGACAGGAGGGTCAAAGTGACAAACCACCACTTCCTTCACTAACCACATGTGTTTGAATGATGTCCATATTGCACTCTTTGTGCTCTCCAGTGTGATTGATGGGCTTTGTCTCATCTAATCTAAGCTGTTTTAGCATGAAAATTGAAGCTGTTGACTGAGCATCTTCTGTAGTCAGTGCAGAGATGGGCAGCTCAGGAAAGCAATTCATCCCATTTGTCTGAGGCATCTCTCTTAGGATGGGACAAGCTGCTTAAAGAGGGACTCCCACACCTAAAATGAAGAGTGATCCACCCCACCTTTGTTCTGAGAGTCTTACTTCCCACTGCTTCAGTTTTCTATATTTGATCTGGCTTAATAGCTTTTAGTGCTTCTGGTCTTAAATGGATATTATATCTACTCTTAAAATGTTCTTGATGCTTGCTAAGCCTGATTTTTGCTTTGCTTGTTAAATTTGTCTTTTTATTTCTGTTTTCCCTCAGTTTCACACATTGTTTGGTTTAATGCTCCAATCCTTGTTCCCTGTTCTCAGGCATTTTTAACCTTTAACACAGTTCTGGTTCTTTCACTCTATGTGTGTCTGTGTCTTTTATTGGTAGTTGATGTTTGGCTTACTAAAGAAGTTCTGGAGAAATGGGAATAGCCACTGGAGGAAGAGGGAGAACAGTTTGGTAGGGTAGAATAGAGCAGGAGGAATGAGGAAAAGGAGGGATGAACAATCAGATATGTAGATGAAAGATTAGATGTGAGATGCCAGTGTGTGCTCACAGCCCAAAGTCAGTCACAGCCAGGGCTGCATCAAAAAGAAGCATGGCCAGCAGGCTGAGGGAGGTGATTCTCCCTCTGTGCCCTGTGAGACCCCACCTGGAGCACTGCATCCAGCTCTGAGGCTCCCCAGCACAAGAAGGACATGGGCTTGTTGGAGCAGGTCCAGAGGAGGGGGATGAAAATGCTCAGAAGGCTGGGACACCTTTTCTGTGAAGAATGTCTGAGCCAGATGTGCTTGTTCAGCCTTCAGAAAGGAAAGCAGCCTTTCAGTTAAAATGGGGCTTGTGAGAAAGATGGAGACAGACTTTTTACCAGGGCCTGTAGTGATAGGACAAGGGCTAATGGTTTTAAACTGAAAGATTATAAACTTAAATTGAACATAAGGAAGAAATTTCTTATGATGATGGTGATGAGGCCCTGAAACAGATTGTCCAGAGCAGTTGTAGGTGCCCCATCCCTGGAAATGTTCAATGCTAGATTGGATTTATGTAGCCTGGTCCAGTAGAAGATATCCCTACCCAGGGCAGTGGGGTTGGAACTAGATGATCATGAAGGTCCCTTATGACCCAAACCATTCTGTGGTTCTGTAAGGAAGCCAGGGGCTGCCACCATGACAGATAAAGCAGATGACAGTAAATGCTGTAGATCTGTTGCTCAAGAGGCATTGACAAGGTGTTTGAGACCTGGGAGCTTCCTTTTGTGTGAGACCTTTTGCTAGGACTGGATGTGTGGTGGCACCTGTGCCTCAGTGGAGACTGCCAGCATGGACGTCCTGGCGAGTTCATTAGTGACTATTCATGGGGTGCCTTGCAATGAATGGAGGCAGATGAGCTCAAGTGTCACTTGGTTAACAGCAGCCCTGTTACCCAAGGCTATCAGTGCCAGCCAGGAAGGGTGCAGCCTGCAGCACCCCTTGCACACCAGTACATTTGCAGATGGCAGTGACACACAGCTCTTCCTGGGGAGCCTTGGCTGAGTGCTGTGCTAGTGCAGCTCAGCAGCATGAGTAACACACACAGCACATTGAAGATGATACCGGGTCATTTTTGAGAGTTCACTTTGCAGTGAACTTTGGTAGCACCTTTACAGAAGTCACTGTGTAGAGTTTTTATATTGTATCTGCTAGAAGTCGACATTTCCACTGTTTTGTTTTGAGTAGTATCAGGAACATGCTTGGTGTGTTAAACATACATGTGTTAGAAACTTCTGGTGTACTTGTGAATGATAAATATCCCCTTATATTTTAGTCAGGAGGCTTTGCATCCATCTTCAGTGAAGAAATGCCCCAGGTAAGCCGATGTAGTGTGATATGCCTTATTTAATTTTTTTTCAAGAGTGATTGTATCCTCTCTCTCAGTGTTGTCCTAGAACACATCAGCTTGCATTTTCAGCATGTTCCCTTTCCTCCATGAGGGGGGTTACATGGGTTTTTATGTAAAAGGAGTTTGAAGTGTAAGGTGCTCTTATCCAATGTGTATTTGACTTAGATAAAACAGAATCTCATCATGGGAAATGATGGGCAAACTTAACTATTGGCATTGCTTTGTGTATAGGGCAGAAAATGTATGCTCTGCATGTGTATATTCTGTGTTGTACACCAACATAAATGCATTTTTGGTAAAATCCTGAGACACCTTAAATAAATGCAAAATTCCCACTGATTTGAATGAGGCCAGGATCTTATCCCATGTGTTTCTTTCAATTTTTTATGAGCATTAAGAATCCATCATGGCCAAACTACAGTTTGCTTATTTTTGTTTAACTATTCCAGAGCAGAGACCAAACGAACAAGGATGAAAGCTTCAACATGTTGCATGCTTTAATTTGTAACAAGAACTTTCTTGTTACGCTCATTCACACCCTTGAAAAGCAGAAAAATTTCTCTGTGAAAGACAGGTAAAGTATGATTATGCTTATCATCTTCAAGAAAAAGAATTAGCCGGAAGAAACAACATGGGTTGTGGCACACAAATGTATTTGGTAGTTTTTGCAAAACAAATTTGCAGTACTCTGGAGCATTTTTCCTTCTCCATCTGTACTCACTGAGGAAGAAAAAACATTGCCATTAAAACAAGCAATTAAAGAGAAATTGGAATGTTTGTACATATAAACAAAGAGGCAAAGGAGCAGGGAAGCTCAGTTCAAAACTGTAAACACTTCCTGCAGTTAGATCAACAGTTCTACAGTTTAGAAATGTTCTGTCACTGGAGCAGGTGTTGTTCTGTGAAATTAAATTTAGAGACACACATTCTGTGTTTAAAAAATAATCACAAGAGCAGATGGACTTGAATTTTTTATATTTTTGTAGAGAACAGTGGACAGTTTATGTGCCTAAGGAGGAAGAACTTAGGATATGAACTGCACTAAAGTGTGTTTCATTTATTAAAGATGACTGGGAAGAGAAATTCCAGAATTAGAGCATTCTTTTTTTGCCCCCACAGGTGCTTGTTTGCATCCTTCTTGACTATTGCACTGCAAACTAAGCTAGTTTATCTGACCCATATTTTGGAAGTATTGACAAGGGACTTGATGGAGCAATCAAGCAATGTGCAGCCTAAGCTCCTGCTCAGACGAACTGAATCTGTGGTAGAAAAATTGCTGACAAACTGGATGTCTGTCTGCCTTTCTGGGTTTCTGCGGGTATGTGTACACCTTTTCACTACATGAGATATGCAGAGAATTTCTTGAATTGATTTTTTCCATAGGAGCTGTCAGAGGGATCAGTTTAAAGCATTCGGTCTAGCATTTAACATTATGAGTGAGCACTCTTCTAGTTTAGGTGGCTTAGCTGGCTATCATCGGTGGAATGCAGGAAAAGAGCACATCTCCAAGCAATGATCATGTCATGTATTTGGGCAAGATTTGGGTAATTTTGTAATTCCAGCATATCCTTTGCTTATACCAGACATTTCAGCCCAGTGGGATCTATTGTGATAATATTAAAAGACTGATACACTTGATAGAATGCAGTGGTACCCATGTATGCAAGGGGTTGGAAAGCTACCAAGAAATGGAGATTTAAGGAATACCATCCTTTGGAAAACTAAACTTCTTTCCAAACTTTTCAACCTCCAAGCAGTATTGCAGATTTCAAGATCTAAATTACTTCAAATGAAAACAAAATAAGCATTTTGTTTCATTTTAATATTTGCTTCTTTTAGTAACTTGATAGCACTTTGTTGTTGGTTTCAGTGCTTGGTTACTCTTCCTGTCTCTCTTATCAACGTGATGCTATCACACTGTTGGTATCACTCTCTTCAGTGCTTACATTATTACAGCAGCAGAATTGTTTGAGGCTGAGCAGTTCACAGTGGTTTCCTGGAACTGAGGAGAGTGCCAAGGAGCTGTCAGAGATATGTTCTCCATACACCAGACATTTTACAGAGCTGTGCTGGTGAGACGCCTTAGCCGGGCTGCAGGAATGGTGTCACGTGGAAATAGAGGCACATCCTTCCTTTCTCAGGTGCTTTCCTGAGCCCTGGGGTAAGGCAGGAGAGGAAATCCCCAGTTTCATTTCCTCTTTTGCTGATACACCAGGGTAAGTCCCACCAGCTTGTTCCCAAGCCATTTTTCAGAGACAAAAAGGGGAGACACCAATTCAAAAGGAAACTGGTTGTTAGCTTGTTTTCTCAAAAGACTGAAAATGGAAGAAGGAGCTGAAGTATGCATGTGAACATGTGCATGTCTCACCCCCCGCCCACTCTTTGGTGGAACTAGGAAGTGTCTGCCAGGTGGAGTAGGAGCAGCTTGTCTGTAGTGTGCTTGTGCACAGCAAGGGGCTGTGAGCTATCTTGCCACTCACTCCAGATGTCCCTTGCTATTTGCATGAGACTTTCACACTGAAAAGCAAAAGATGGAGGTTAAACAATAACTAGATAAATCTGCTTGGAGGGATTTTCTTTTCTAATTGCAAGTTAATGAGTTACTTAAAAGGAAATAACACCATTTGTTACACTTCATTTTTTTTCCAGTTATTCATGCACATTTAATGATTGCAAAAATAAGTGTTTCTTGTATTTTTTGCCTGACCTAGGAAACAATTGGTGAACCTTTCTACTTGCTGGTGACAACCCTCAATCAGAGGATAAACAAAGGACCTGTTGACGCAATCACTTGCAAAGCCCTGTACACTCTCAACGAAGACTGGCTGCTGTGGCAAGTGTCTGAATTCAAAACAGTGGTATGTTTGCCAGCTTGTGTTTCCTCCAGGCATGGACAGCTGTAATGTTTTCTCTGTTTCTAAGAAGCTAAAATAAGGCTCTTGAGACACTAAGGTAGTGGTTAAGTGCCCAGATAGTAAATTGTTATTGCTGACAAAGTTTCTAAACATGGTAAGAGTTTAACTGTTTGTCTGATATACATTTCACAAATAGCACTTACTCCTCACTTCACAGCATGCATTAATCTCCAAAGAGCAGGTTTAATGAAGTCTCAGGATATTAAAAAATCATTCTTATTTCAAAGTATACTACAAAAATATAAACATGCTTAGAATTTAAACTAAACTACACTTTGTGAATGAATGAAAGAATGGAATGCAGAGGAGTTTTTTTTTCTATTGTGTTTACTTGTGACTAATCTTCAGGCAATGATTTGCTGTGTGTTTCCATATTATTAGCACCAAATAATCTTCAAATTAGCATGGTTACAGCATTGTGGATTTTAATTAGATGCTTGGTTAAAAACAAGATATCTGGGAAGTCTAGCTAAGCTTCTGAACTTTACCATAGTTTTTTTTGCCTTTCTCAAAGCACCTAAGAAGTACTTCCTGTTTTCCAGTTGCACCCAAACATCTTTAAAAGCTGGAGTTCCCTTACTGATTGTCATTGTGACACTGAGATGAGAAGGGATAGCAGGATTATTGCACTTTGGAGCATGTAAAAATTGTGGCTTTTGGAGGAGGAGGTCTGAAAAGGGTTTTCAGAATAACCAGAGCACTCTTCTGCTCCAGAGTTTCCAAGTGATTTTAGGTCTGAGAACTTAAAAATGTGTATTTCCAGTTATTTTTGTAGCTTCCTTGCTTCCTAACTCCTGGCTTCCAGTCAGAGTTATGCGACATAATGAGGAGTATGAGAAGTGCCGCTGAACAGTGGCCTTCACACCTTGGGAGCAGAAATTGGCAGGCAGCAATGGCCACAGCAAGGACAGTTCAAGTGCTTTCAGTCCTTTTCTGAGCCCATGGGCTAAGCCTCTGGTAGGGCTGAAGTTTCCAGGTCTGCCTGGAAGCAAGAACTTGGAGGTGCTAAGATATAATACTGGAGCAGACTACATGACCCTGGAAAATGTGGCTGGTCAGCAGTCCATTGGACTTCTCTCACTGGGCCACATAGGAAACTCACTGCAATGGCGACATTTCTGTGGGTCATTTCTGACCTGTCATTCTCTAATGAAAGCTTCAAACTGATAAAGCAGTAGCCAAATCTTCTTCTTACAAAGCTGTTGGTAGAGGCTGCATTTGAAGGTATGTCAAGCTAAGTTACCAAGTGTGCGTTTGGAAAGGAAGTTTGTGACTAAAAATCGAATATATAATCCAAGGTCTTTGGTTTCCTTGTTTGTGTGCTGCCTGCTGGCATGTATTTGAGATCCAGAGTAAATTTAAATATATTGCTGTCTGTATCCATAGGATGCAAAATGCAGTGGTGATGCAGAGCAACAATTTTCAAGCAAGCTCAATATGCCTGTTACTAGTAGACTGCACAGAAATATTTTCTTATTTATAGCACACATTCAAATTGAGAGCCCCTTGGGGGGGATAGCTGACTCTGCAACTGCTGAAGAGCCTTAAATACTTTTTCTAGAGCTACTTCTATGCATGTAGTCACTGATAGGATCTTGTGCTCAGACTGCAGTGAAGAGGAGAAAAGGTAAGTGGTCTGAAGGACTTGCTATCACTGGGGAACACTGCAGATGGATGAGGAAGTGAGAGCCTACAGCCCTTCTTGAACGTTGTTTCCTGCCTTTGTACTTTGTATTCCTGCTTTTGAATGGGAGATAATGATGCAGCTATGGGTTAATATAGATCAGCTTTCCCGTTTAGGTGCAGCATTCCTCGGGCTTAGCTGAGAAGTGCTGAATGTTCCCTTTAAAGCCATCACAAAAGCAGAGAGGACTCCTGCAATAAAATTGCAGAGATGAAGGTCAAGGACTGTAGCTCTGGCTGGACTGGGAAATGGCTTTGTTAGGTGATTTATCTGAGATTTATGCTGGAAGCTGAAACTGTGCTGTGAAGAGACTTAGGTGGAGTACTGAGGCTTTCTGGGCTGGGGAAGCAAGCAGCTGTGCACATTTTCCCTTCAAAAATGGCATTTAACAGGAGGCTTAAGAGAAAGTAGGCAGTTTCCTTCCCTCACTAACACCACTTCAGATGCACTACATTGATGTGCAGGACCTGTAAGCTTACAGACTGGGAACCAAGTGTTTTCTCCTTACTGGGGAAGAACATTTCTGCCTAAAGGAATGCAGGTTTTGTTTGCTAAATGGAATAAATTCTGATCTCAGTTTTCAAGTGCACTTGTACAGTTGCTCATTGCATTTACATTCTGAGTCTTGCAGTATTTTGTTGGTATTTTGATTTTCCTCTTTGCCCAGCCCTACAATAGCAGTACATTTCAATGTACCTCTCCAGAGCAAAGCATAAAAAAATACAGCCAAAAAGAGGGTTATATAGAGATGGTGAAGCAAATCTGTGGCCATTTGGTGTCCAGATTTTTTTAAGCTGTGTAGGCACTTGAAGATACAGGGATATATCTGGTAGGGAGTTCAATTCTCGAATCAGTAACAGGATACAAACAAGGGTGTAGATGCTTTGCATGAGAATCTCTCCTTTCAGGACTGGGAGTTCAGTTCCAAACCAGTAAAAGCAGGATACAGACAGGCTCCTAAAAATCAGGGCGAGCTCCACAGATCAGGAGAGGTTTTTAACATTCAGGCCATTTGTAACCAGAAAAAAAAAGAGGACCTGGAAACATGTAGTGTTTGAATTGCATTAGAGCTGTTCCCTGGCAGGGCCCCATGCCTTTTTTAAAAAGGCCACAGACCTTGGATCACCCGACACCCTTCTGTTAACCCTCTCTGCTAGAAAGGGTGAGGCCCTGAACAGAGATAGGCTGCTGAAGAACATACTCAAGTGGAGGAATTGAAGGAAAGATGCTTCTAAAAGCACTGGTCAAGTATGGGCTGAGAAGCTGTGCTCTTTCATGCTGTGCTTATATTTGAGTAGTGAGAACTAAAGCTGCCTTGAAAGAGACTTGGATGTGTCATGGATCCTTTTCTCAGGCTGAGGAAGCAGGGCTGCTCTCTCACAGGCAGACAAGCAGCTGCACCCCTCTGCAGATAATTTGTTCAATGACTGATGAAGGAGTGTGCTCCACAGCTGAGTGCTAGCCTTTCACTGAAGAGATTCATTTTGAATAGAAAATGCCAGCCTGGAATGGGAGATGTTCTCAGTGGTGGATCTCCTGTGGGAAACCAGGGGAGACTTCTTACACTGGACTAGGTGCTTCAGCATTCCTTTGAGTAGTCATTGCTTATTTTTAAAAAGGCATTTGGGCTGTTGAATGCTTTGCTGAAATCTGTTTGCATTTTTAGATGGGAAGAAATTATCTAATTCACATGTTCAGACAACTGCCTTTCATCAAAAGTGAAGCAAAGCCATGTAGTGGAAGGTTGTTTAAAGTGTTTAACTGCTTTATGAGTTAAAAGAGGGGTGTTAAAAAAAGGTGGGTGGGCTGTAAAGGAGTAAAGCAGAGACAAGGAAACCAATTTCCTAATAAGACATCATGGTTGTGGTATTATTAGTCACACTTTGTGAGAGATAAGGAAGCTATTAAAAGTATGTGATATAGGGGGATTTTTGTCAGCAGAAAAGAACACAGCAACCCTCACTACAAAGTGAGCAGTGCAGATGTTGGCTACAGGAGAGTCCTCTGGATTAGAGACAGATGGAGTGTCAGATACAGCAGCATCAACAGCACAACCCTTCCATTGTGCAGTGCCCATCGAGCCTAAATTTAACTCCTGCAGCATTTTCTGTGCCAGTTGGCTAACTCTCCTACAGCTGTTCTATATCCTCTTCACAGGTGACTGTTCTGGCTGCTGCAGAAGGATCATACAATCAATCTGATTTTTCCTGTGGATTGTATTTCATAGCCTGGGAAATGGGTGTAGTTTTAAGGCAGTTTTGTTATGTGGTACATCCTGGTATTGGCTCTTTGCATAAATTGCCTAACTTTCACCAATCAAAGAGGATTTTTTGGGTTTTCTTCCATCTATCTGATAAATGGAAATATGATTTCTTCAGATGCATAGCTGATGCATAGGGTAATGAATAACAGTCTTTGAATAGCCCGGATTATTGTTCTTTATTTCTAAGAAAATATGATACTATCACATTTCTTTATTAAACCACATCTCATTTATTATCTGCTATGGTTATTAATAGCTCTGCTAAATAATTCATTGTGTGTAATTAATTTTCAAGGAAACTACAAATCTGAAAAGCCATCTGCAAACACTGTCATCAAATGTCATTATTTCTATGACTGCATGGGTGAAAATACATTTTTTTAGGTTTGTTCCTGTCTTGTAGCTAGGTTCCAAGCCAGTTCTATACAAGTAGTTGCAGGTGCCACCTTCTCCTTAAGTAGCCTTTAACAATTCTTGCAACCCATGTTAAAGCTGTTCTGAAGAGTACTGTGACTTTGTCTTACTGTCATGATTTCTAGTGTGTGAAGTCTCATCTCTAGATATTATTAGCCTGAACCAGTTTCTATAATTTTCTCCTGAATCTTTTGCTAAGTTAATAGTACTTTTGTTTCCTCCGCAAAGTGACAGAGCTTAGAAAAAGGCTTGATGATATTTTTTTGATTTTCACATGTCCTCCTCTGATTTCTCATATATTTTCTGACCTCCAGAGCTGATCATAAAAGGGCTTTCATAATTTTACAATAATTTCTTTTTCTAGTTCTACTCTATGTGTCTAAGTATAGTGATTGTGACTGTCGGCTTCTGATTAATGGTTTCTAAAGCCAGGGACTGTGCTGTCAGGCAGGTGCAATCTGATTTATGAAAACTTCAGCTGCAGAGGGACAGCTTAATAATAATTGGATTTCCTAGCTCCCCATCAATTGCTTTATCACTTAAGATTAACTTCTGCAGGAAATCATATCAGCAAAACCATCTGGCTCTCATGGCTTAGAGACTTTTACATGTTTAAATATTCTTTCCCATCTGACCACTTCTTTGAGTTATAAAGCATTCCTATTATCCTCACACTGTGGATACTTTCACTTAAGCACTCCATACATGACTTGTATTCCACCTACATGAAGGATGACTTCTCTCTTTTCACAGTCCTGTCATCCCCCAGCGAGTGGAGCAGGAATGGGAGGGCTCTCATGTGCTAATGACTGTGTGAGTGTATGCTGAAAAGGAAAGGAGGAAGAGACATAGACAGTTCCTCTTGATGGTCTGAAAGGAGTGGAAAATGAAGCAGGAGCAGGAATATGAATATTGCAGTGTAGGAATATTGTTAGAAGGAAAGGATCATCTGAAGGAAGGAATGCTTCCAAGAGCCAAATAGAGCCAAATCAACACCAGTTAAAGTGCAAGGAGCTGCTTCAGAAATAGCAGTTCAGAGACTAGAAGGGGCAAAAACAGATTAAAATGAGTTTTCCAAGGACAAAATACAGTTAGTCCCTGTCCACATTTTAATCCTACAAGACCATGACTTCACGGCAATCAGAGTCAAGGACAAAACTGCTGTCTGTACAGTTGGTCTGTGGGCCTAACCAAGCATGACTCCCTCATTGCTGTGCCAATATATTTTTTATTAATTTTCTGCATGAAATCCCAACCTGAGGCATGGTGTCCAGTCTGCTTCTCCTTCTACAATTCCCACATATCCTTGTCTCTTGTTCCATCTGTCCTTTCCATGGACTCATTTTCCTCACAATTAAACATCTCAGTGTCCTGATTAAGTTGTTCCCTCTTACTTCAGTTACATCCTAGTCTTTCTTAAATCTTAATCTTAATAGTTTTGCAACCCTGTTTTTGATAGTCCCTTTGCTTCTGTAGAGACAGTAAAGTTAATTTTTGTTGCATTGGATTAGTTTTTTTCACTAGTAGCATGTTGTAATTTCCACTCTTGCTGGGTAATAAGCAGAAAATACTATTCTACAACTATTAATAACTACCTGTTTTTCTGAGAAGATAGAAAAGTTGTCCCTGCAACACCCTGGACAGAAATTCTGTCCTTCACGTGACAGCAGAGAAAAAAAATTGTTTACTTGCTTCCTGTTTTAATGCTCAGTCCTTCAGAGTCACATGGAGTCCTCTCATTTCAGTCTGAAGATAAATGTTATACCACAACTGTTCAAGCCAGAATGGTTTGAGTACATTTATTTTCCTATGCCACTTGCAATCAAGTGCTGGCACCTAAAACACTTGTTTTAATCCTGTCCCAAGACATCTCCAGCAGAACATCTGTGTCCATGTAGCTGGACAGCGATTTCACTGCTCAGAGCGGGCTGAGGCACTGGAAATTTTTGATGTTATTTCTTGGCAATTACAATTACAACTTAGCAATTCTGTGCTCATCCCTTATTTCCTGCCTTCTAGCAGTTGATCTGCCTGACCTGATGAGAAATATGACCTGACAAAAAAATCATTCCCTGGGGATGGTCACTCAGTGTCACTGGCAGCTCCCTCCAGCCCCTGCTCAGCTCGTGTGCAGCCCAGCAGAGGAGTTGTGTCCCAGCCAGGAGTAGCAGTGACTAAAGGGCAGGGGTGCTGGAACCAGACATGGGTGTTTGAGCTGAGATAACAACTAATGGAACACAATGCACTTTTCTGTGCAGATCTGTACCACTTTGGATTCTATCTGTACCACTTTGGATTCTGTCTATTTTCACTGCTTCTGTGGCAGCCCTGTCAGTGCTGCCTGCAGAGACAGGGCTGTGCACAGACAGACACCAACAGCTCCAGGGGAGCTGTACCTTCTGTGGGATATAAGGCACTCAGCATAATCTGCTGGTGTAAATATGCATTTTAACACTGCTTTCTTGCCACTCAGAATCAATCATGCTTACCATGGCTGCTTACTCAGCAACCTTATCAGATCTCTTGTCACTTACAGTTTTGCTGTTAAGGCATTCATTTTACATAAAAGATCTGCTTTTTTTAGAGCATGCATTGTAATTCTTCCTTGTCTCTTGTTTTTTTGGTAATTCACTGAAATACATTTGCACAAAAGCAGAAGACAAAATACACTCTTGGAAATACATAGTTATATATATCTATTTTTCATTTTATTAACAGGAAGAATTTTAAATGCTTCTTTGTGTAATTCCTTCAAATAATCTTTATTTGAAACAACTTTAATAATAAATATGCTGAAAATCTCTCAGGTGCTGAAAATCTCTCTGGAGTTTGTAGGTTTCCTATGCCAGGTGTTCCCTATAAGTCAGAATAACATGTGTTTCCTTCCCCAGACGCTGAACATTATCTTTGAAAAAATCCCCGAAAACGAGAGTGGAGATGCCTCTCAAACTATTCAAGTTAATGTTCTGGACTGTGACACCATAGGCCAAGCCAAGGAGAAGAGCCTTCAGGCTTTCTTCAATAAGAATGGCTTTCTCTATGGTCTTCAGCTGGATGAAATTGGTCTTGGTAAGAGAATGTCACTATGCTGTATTTACTGGCCTGTTGTGGAGTTTTCTTATTAGGAGCACCTACCTTTAGCTTTGATTCTTTTCAGAGTTCATACAGAACTTAGCTTTTGAGAGGAATTCTGAGGCAAGCACTAGATTTATTTATGTTGCCAGTTAGAACACTGGAGCTACATCTGCTTCACTTCTGCAAGGATGTCAGCATTGCAATTACCAGTGATGTTATTTATTATGTGTGTAGAATTTCTCTATTCCTTTCTGGGGTAAGTAAGGTGGCAGGCCCTCCACCTAAGTGCAGCTGGTTGGTTGTTACATTTTGTCAGGGGAAAAGATGACATATCATGATAATCAAGTATTTTAGTCCCTATCTACTCTTCCTCCTACCTCCCTTCCTTCCTTCCTACAGGCCTACATTGCCCTTGATCAGAAGAGCCTTCAAATAAATCTTATTTATAGTCAGACTTGGTTTATATAATAACTTGCCCGTGACTCACAAAGTCACCTACAATATCTGCAGATGTAAATAAGGCTGTTCCAGAAGATGAGTCAAACCACCTTTCCTTGGTGGGTTTTCAAGAGCCCAAGGTCTGTAGCTATCACCACCATACCACTTCCCACCTACCCTAGTAGGAAACCTAACTCACTCTATATTGTTGGCATTTGTCACCTCCTGGACTGGTGGCATTTGTCACACTCCCTAAGATGTCGATACTTCCTCGCCATCTCAGACTCTGTGTTTGCAAGTGCTCATAATTTACTTTCATATCTGATGTCTTGATGCCTATATCCTGTACTAGTGCCTGACCACCCTTCACAGGTACAGTATCAGTCTTGTGCAGCTCATTTTAGTGATCTCTTAGAAATGGCTTGTGGAACCTTTCTTCTAGTCCCAGTGTAACCTTTACAGCAGGACACACTTGTGCAGCAGAATAGTGATTAGGTGAAAGCACCTCCAAAAACTCTGCCTTGACCTACACAGAGTGAAGCACCAAAACCTGCTGAAAGGGAAGCCACCCAGGTTGTCACCCCAGAAAAGGAATCAGAAGTGTGGGAGTGCAAAACCACTTTCATGTGATCTAGCACAAGGATGGAGAGAGGCAGCTCAGTTGGGAGTCACTGGTCCAAAAATAGTTGGGTGTTGTTTTTCTTTACAAATGTCGGTACAGTGAGAATGCCATTGGGGTGTAATTGTTTTCTGTTGCTGTCATACTGCAGAACTTGTGTCTGAGGAGCAGCAAAGAGAACTGTTAGATATTGATGGCTCCTCAGAGGTGATGGATGATGGCATAAGGAAGCTCAATACCATCGGCCATTACGAGGTAAGCACAGAAGCCAGATCAGCGAGTTGAGATGTTTCTCCACTGTTCTCAAATGTGATCTGCACAGCTTGAAGTCGTAGCTGAGCATCACCAACAGAAGGAAAGAATTGTGTGGCACACAACATTCTTGCCAATGAGTCATGTTTTCTGTTACTTTTCAGAGGTTTCCTTGTTGCAGGGTTGCTTGGTTCAAACATACCAGGTAAACTGTTAATTCTGTCAAGCATTTCATTTAAAACAAAATCTGATTTCCAGCTACGAACATTGCCTTGGGTCTTTTTGAGTCTCTGCTGTTGAGTTTTTGTTGCACCATGAGCAACTGTTTACCTCATCCTGCCTCATATTTTGATTATCTGAACAGGCAGTATTGATACTTTTGAAATCTCATTGCAAGTCAGAATAAAAAGGATTGATAGCTTTTCTCCCTCTTTTCTTGATACCTCCTATGTCAGTCTCCTTGCCGTTTTCTCTCTCTGTTTCTGCTTCCATCTGCTGTTGGCACTTGTACTGTGTCTTCCCCTCTGCTTCCAGTTGCCCCTGTAAAGCAGTTGTTGCCATGCTGCGATAATCTGTCCATCATTGCAACAACACACAAAACTGCAACTGGTGGCAGAGCCCTCCTGGGTGTAGCACACTGTGAAAGCAGAGCAAGCAGCATTTCCTCTCTGAGGAGTTTTCAGTGACACCAGTCAAAACAGAGAGTGAGATGTTGGAGGAAAATGTGCAGCAGGTGATTGGCCTCAGGTGATATGGAAGTTCACATGTGATGCTTACAGATAGATTTTGGAAATGGAGGTTACCATGCTGAGTGCTTTTACAGGTCTTTCCTCATGCCTCATTGAATTTGAAAGTCTGGCTCTTAACAAGTTCATAAATTTTTATTGATTTAGAAGTTTTGCTGCCATAGGTCTGTGCTGTGCAGTGCAGTATGGTGCTGAGGAACCTGAGCCAACACGGAACATATTCTGTCTGCATGAGCAAATACCGTGCCATCTATAGAGAAGCAAGGATTTTTAGCAGAAATTTGTATCCTGGGCAGAGAACAAGGCTGCTTAGATCTGAAGCAAGCTCATTTGGAGTCACTTTACAGATTTCTGTAGGCATTTGATGCTCTCCTCACCTCACAGGGGTTCAGCAGTGAACCCAGATGTCCTGAGTCACCATCCAGTGGCTTTTCTGTGCCTGTCTTGAATCTTGTCTATAGGTGAATGTGTGACCTCCTCCACTCCACTTGTAGAGATTTTTTACAAATTAGGACATTGTAGTGTTGCAGTTTGAGCCTGTACAGCACAGGTCAGTGTAGATTTGAATTAGATTAGGTGTTGGAACTTCTGTCCAATGCAGCAGTGCCTGCCCTCTTTACCACAGGCAGCCATTGCAGGTGCTCCCTGCTTTCCCCAGCAGCCTGGAGCTGCTCTGTGCCTGGAGCTCATGGCAAGCTGTGGCTCATGGGTGTCAGACATCATGGCAGGTAAGTCTGCCCCACTGGTCTCTGTCATCCCTGGGTATCTTTGTCCCAGCCCTTGTTTTGTCTGAGGTTTCTGCAGGCAAGGGTTTCTTGCAGCTGCAAGTTAGGTAGGAGGCACAGTTGTTTTTGCAAAGCTGTAACTACACTAATTATAGCTTAGCAGCTGCCTTATGGAAATTGTACTGCATGTCTCTTCCATAGTTTAGTTCACATTTTCTGACACTGACAAAATAATATATGTTTTAGGCAAAAGCTCAGTGGTATTTTAGGCAGTGGCTTAGTGGCAAGTATTAGCCATTAGCACTTCTAGTTTATTTTCTTGTATGTATATTGATGCAAAAAGGAATGTAAAAGTGTCTAGATAGCAAGAAAAAGGAACATTGCATACACTCTGTGAGGGCAGTAACATTGCCTGAGAAATTCCAACTTACATTTCAACAATGCCTTCAGTTTTGTGGCAAGCTTGAATTTTCCTTTTTGTTTACCAGCCTTAAATGCTACAAAGTAACCAGATGTTTGAAATTGGGAAGTACCATCAAACTTTTTTAAGACACTGGAGCATGAGGGTTGTGTTGTGAGGGTCCAAGATCACCAGTCAGTCTTGAAAAAGTAGACATAGTTTCTACACTGATTTTTAAAATATGCAAGAATGGTGCATTTGCATTCTTGTGTAGTGTTTGTGAAGAGAAAAAAATCCACTGTTCTGTTAGACTCTCTTATGCCTCTGGCCTGTGGGCTACTTTTGCTCTATTTTTTGGCTCCTAGGAGGTTTATCAATATGTTTATTTATGAGGTCTGTATTATCACTTCCATGAGAATAACCACAAGCTATGATAAGAAAGTTGCTTATTATCTTGACATCTCATTCCCCACACAAGAAGAGAGCTGGACAGTCACTTTCAGACCTGCTGTGCAGTCACAGATATCCAGTTTCTCAGCTTTCAAGAGTACCACACGTTCCAGGAGCAGGCAGAGCCACATCAAGCAAAACTGAATGTAATCCTGGGAGCTCACTGGCAAGGACTGGATTACAGTGAGCACAGGAGGCCTGGGGAGCAAGAGGCATAGAGCCACACTACCGTGTCTTCTGTTTTGCAAAGTAGCTCTATTCCACATTGTCTGGATTGGAATAGATCTCTCTTTTCCCTGTTTGTCCCCCTCAACAATGCAACTGGCAAAGCAAACACTTTTTCAGATGCCCATGGGAGCAGCCCACCACAAAAAAGTGATTTAGACAGCAAGATGCAAAAAGAAGGAGTTTTTAAAATGCTTTTTTTTTAAATTGGATCACACTGTAAGAAACAGCAAGTATGGCTGCTGCAGTAATGATAAAAGGAAAGCATAGTCTACTCACTGCTAAAAGCATAATTTGTCCCAAAAATAAAATCTAGAGTGTGGGCTTTGGTCATGGCTGCTCTGCTGCAATGCCTCAGATTCCTGGAGGGCAGCACAGTTCTCCCTGTGAGCTCTGCCATCTCCCTGAGGACAGAAGTCAACACATTTCAGCACTGAGCTGCCCTGCTACCTCTTGGGGAGGAATGGAGGCAGCATGTTGCCCACACTGCTCTGGGAGGGGGTGAGCTGCTGTGTAGCACTGTTCCTGTTTATCTGTCTCCAGGGACAAGTAGGAGGAATGTCTGGGTGTTGGTATCCCCTCACAAGCTAGCCTTACAGCATATTCCTATTTGTAGTGTGGTTTTCAAGTGTTCTGTGCTATCTAAAATAGTTCTGAAAGTCTGTATGATAGATGGAATCTCTGCAAAAAAAAATCATAAAATAGATTGCATTTACTTTCCAGGAGCAAATGTGAGTGCAGATTTTTTTGGCACAAGACACAGCTTTTGATAGAGTATCTTAATGTTTAAACTGGTTTCTCACACCAGGCTGGCTGCCAAGGTTTAAAAAACACTTAAATTATTTTGGCAGAGATCCCTTCCTAGAACTGGCCGGTTGTTTTTGTAATTATAGAGGCAAGTACACTAGCACTTGGCAAGACTCAACATTTGATAGCAGAGCAGTGGTGTAGTTCTCAGTGGGAGCCATTTTTTTAGTTACTCTTTGACAATAAAAGCATGGCTTGCCAGTTTGTTTTAAAGATAATGAGTAACATCCTGGCAACACTATAAATTCAGGGAAGGAGGAGGTTGATTTTTCCTAGAAATCCCAAGATGGTAAGATATGGATCTTGATCTTATGGTGTATAAATATTTTGCTCAGTTTGAAAATAGTTCTTGGGAGCACCAGGCTAAACCCTCAGAATGGCCCCTCCACAAGACATGGGGAGAACAGACTGAGCTGAAAGAAAGGGGAGCAGAAGAGAATTCTCCTTTGTGCGCACCTCTCTGCCTCACCTTCCCATAAGATTCTGTTGCACTGGGCACAGAGAATTTAACCTGAGCAATCTATGGAAAAATGGATGCAAGAAACAGCACAGAGCAATACATGAACATGAAAATGTCCACATATGTGCTGAACCAGAAAAATCAAAGGAAGGGAAAGGTCTTCAAGGCTGGTGCACTGGAAGAGGTGCCTTCCCACGTGTCTGGGTAGTGCTGACAAGGTGCAGCCACTACCTGTGCCTGAAAGCCCAGCCCTGGCTGCCTGCTGAAGGCTGTGCACACTGTGGTGAGAACAAAGCAGGCTGGGCTGTCCTGCACTGCCACTGGCTGAGGGACAGAGGAAATGAAACTGAGGCTTTTGTGAATTGTAAGCACTTCTGTTTCAGCATGATATGTTTGTTTTTTCTTTCAGATTTCAAATGGAGCAACCATAAAAGTCTTCAAAAAGAAGGCAAACACCCGATCAGGTAACACACTCACTGTGACCCCTTTAAACTTTTGTGCAGAATGGTTGGGAATGCAGAGAACTGAGCTCTGATTGTATCTTGGGCAACAGGAGGTTGGAGGAATTGGTACTTTGAAATAGTTGAGCCAAATGAAGAGCCCCAGCTCTGGGCCTCTGGCAGGCACAGTGGGCCTAAAAGCAAGAAAGAAGGCAAAGGAAAGAAGGACAGAAGGGCTCACAGTCCTCAGCAAATGATTGCCTAGAGATACAGGCTCATAGGCAGGAAAGCCTATGGACAGGGAAGTCCAGCTGACACAAAGAGAGGGAACAGCTCTCTCTGCCTGGTGCCCTGAGCTGTGAATCACAGCCATAGTGCTGCACTGTGCAGAAACACAAATGATAAAACCCCCACTGTTTGGGAATTGTCCTTATTCTCTTGAGTGTGTTTCTGTAAGCTTTGACTTCACTGTCTGAGCAGCATGTCAGCAGAGAAAGGGTGCTTACAGGGGGCCAGTTCATCTCACCTAGCCCTGTGATGCAGGTTGCTCTGACCCAGCTGGTGGATGAGGGTAGAACTTTCTGTAGCTCTGTGCAGAAGCACACTCCTAAGATGTGTTTCCTTATCATCAAAGTTAGGAGAGACGTGCATCTCCCCCTCAGCAAAGCTGAGGTCGTTTGTTCCCAGCCCTTGTGTTCAAGCCTGACCTCAGCCCACCTGCACTCAGCACTCCTAGAGGCTTAAACCCCTGCAATCATCTCATCTTGTCCTCCTTTCAGAGGAGCTGGGGTTGCTGCCAGCTTACCCCAGCAGCAGATAGGATGCTGTATCACAGTGGTCCAAGCTACAGGTTGGCACTAGAGGGGTGCACAGGGTCCATGCATTTCTCAGAGACTTCCCCCACAGTGCAGGCAGGAAAGGATGACACTGACTCTGCTTGTTTGGCATCTTGGATGCACCCTGCTGCATGGCCCAGAGCCCAGCAGAACTCACAAGCTTGTGGCTGTGTGTTTCATTAATGGCTCTCTGCTTTTGTTGTTTAGATGTGGACTACTCAGATGAACACTGTCATTTGGTGAGTTGAATCATCCCACTGCTGAGCGGTAGATTTAATACTGAGCTGAGTATTTAGATCTGTGTAATCTCTCTAATCTCTTTGTAACAGATTTTACCAGACTCTGAAGCAAACAAAGATGTGAAGGGAGCAGGTCACAAAGGAAAACAAAAATTCAAAGTGAAAGAAATGTATCTCACAAAACTTCTGTCAACCAAGGTAAACTGTAAAGGCTTTATTTTGGGGGAGAGCTGGTGTTGGCTTGGATAGTTTGGCATAACAGAAACACAAACAAAACCAGAAGTACTGCAGACTTCCTGAGTGTAAATCAAATGTTAAATGAAAAGGTAGCATCCAAAAATCACCACGCTAACTATGGGGCATGACCTTTTGCAAAGACAGACACATTTCAGGTTTTCTAATACTAGAGTTCTAAAATTGTCTGATTACACATAGTATCTCCTTAGTAAGCACAACCTTCTTCTCAGGTTAAAAAAAAAGGTTGTTATTTAGCCCATGGAAAGTGAGTTTTACCACAGAGTTGCATAGGGTGAGAATGAGCCACTCTGGAATGACAGCTTTCAGTCAACAATCTCCTCATTCTGCTCTAGCATTTGCCCAGCTTAGAGATGACTTCTGAAGCCTGAGTTTCACAAGATACTGCCCACAAAATGAAATAATCTGTTATGGTTTCAGATTAGGCATTCAAAGTAACTAGATTAACTTTAGAAGCAAGGTCCTTAGGATTTATAATACAAGTACCTAATTTATACAATGTGCATTGCTTAGGAATAAGTCCTGCTCACTCCCTCCGGTAACGTCATCTTGTTTCTGACTTAACTCCAAATGGTTAGAAAGCTCTTTGCAATAGCATATTGCATAAAATATTCATGGGTGCACAACACTGAGCTGTGCAAGAGGCCTGAAAGGATGATGATTATAGCCTTCTTGCATTTAAAAGTCTATCAATCATTATTTAATTAGGCTGTTGATAGCATCTGAAGTAATTTGGGACAGTCCCCAAAGTGAGAGTGAAGACTGGTCATTTCTCATTACCTGTGAAAACTAACATGAGCCCTCAGGAAATGCTGGAGTAAACCAGTAATGTCTTATGGTGGAAGACTGAGGTACAGAAGAAAAGATCAGGCTTTTTAGAAATAGGCCTTTTAAAGGGCGTTAAATTAATCATCTTCTCCAAAGTAGGACACTGCCCTGAACAACAGAGCTGTGATATTCTTTGCTGTGAAATTCCTCTCATGATAGGCTGTGCACTAAAGGAAATTGCATCTCACCCTCTCTCTCTCTCTCTGCTCCCCTGTCTCCCATACATGCACACAGACACAATCTCAGAGTTTACCCCATGAAATGAACTGGCCAGAATTCATCAGGGCCCTGGGATATGATTAAATCCTTCTTGTCAAGAGAAGATTGGGCTGAACTGAGCTTCAGAACAGATGTGAAGAAATAAAGCACAAAACAGTGTTTTCCTTTGTTTGCCTCTACTTATAAATACTCAGTGATTATGTCAGTGAGTCCAGCAGCAACCAAACCCTACCTTTAATGAGCCAAATATCTACACTTATGTATCAGAAATATCCAGTTTTCAGTTCTTCTCTCTAATACTAGTGTCTTATAGCACCCAAAGGTGTTATTCTAGAATTAGATCGAGTGCCAGAGCCACTTGGCTGTGAAGTGTTGATGAGCACATGTGTTGAGTTTGTGTCACAGATGGCACCTGGAAGACCAGTGCCCTAGGAAAGTGGCTAAACTGCTTTTTTCTCACCTCCCTCTTAATTCCAGTCACAAATTTCAAATGCTTTTAGCAACAGTGGCAGCAGTATCCCAAGAGTGGATGTTGTCTTTATTAGCCCAAGTGGTTCTTCCCACCTGTGATTTATCACGGAATTCACCATGATTCTCCTGTAACAGAGCTACAGGACATGTGACATGTGGAAGGAGCTCATTGTGATGTATTGTAGTTCCATTTTTGTTACTGTCCTGTTTGCCAATAACCTATGGCCTTGATGTTTGCCACAAGCATATGGTAATTTTCTGTGTGTGGTTGTCTAGGGGCACACACAGCTCTCTGAGGTAAAACATCCTATTCTTTGCTTGTGTAATAGTAACAAAATATTAACTTTGTTACTTTTAGGTGGCAATTCATGCAGTTGTTGAAAAGCTCTTCAGGAGCATTTGGAGTTTACCCAACAATAAAGCACCTGTTGCCATCAAGTACTTTTTTGACTTTTTGGATGCCCAGGCTGAGAGCAAAAAAATTACTGATCCTGATGTGGTTCACATATGGAAAACCAACAGGTATGCCCATGGGATATCCACAGGGGTGCGTGTGCTCTCTGAACACATAGTTGCAAAAATGAAATGCGTCAGGTGTGAGCAGAAGAATAAGATTTTGGCATGTCTGGGAATAAGATGTGGTTTGGCTTTGTGGATAACAGGAACTTTAGTGCATTGATTTAATACAACACAAATCATCAGAGCTTCCAGGTCTGTGCAGCCTGCACACCAACTTCTCACTCTGAAAGAAGTAGCTGCAGATTGGGAGCATTATTTGAAGCTGGGTGCCTGACAGATGTGTTTGCTCTGTAGCCTTTGTTCCCTGACCCCTTTTTTAGTGTGAAGAAGCAGCCAGGAATGTGCTTTGTTCCATGAGTGCAGTTGCAATTAAGGACCATTTAAAAGCAGTTGTGCTACTTGAGTGGTTGATTTTAAAGATGTTTGTTCTTTCTCCTGTCTAGTCTTCCTCTTCGCTTCTGGGTGAACATACTGAAGAATCCCCAGTTTGTCTTTGACATTAAGAAGACTTCACACATAGATGGCTGTCTGTCTGTAATCGCACAGGCCTTCATGGATGCCTTTTCTCTCGCAGAACAGACACTGGGGAAGGTAATGCTGCCCCTCCAGTCTTCTCCTACTTTCTCAACAAATGTCTTTTTCAAATGTATAATGATTAGGATGATGAAATTCTGGATCTGCTGATATTGGGGGCAGAATTGTCAAGGGCCTAATTAAGCTGGGTTTCCATTCCTCGTTTCTCTGTCTCCTGAGACTGAAGAATTCACCGGTAGACAGATACAGCTATGAGAATGCCTTACTTATAGTTAACTGCTGCTTGTTTTCTCTGCAGTTCAGTTCTGCACAGTGTGTTTACACAATAGGTGGCAAGAAGATGGAAATTGTAAAGTTCTAATGGAGTTTTAAACAAAGGTCTTAAAAGTATTAACGTTATTTGATAAGTAGTCCAAATTTTGTCTGCCACACACCAGTGTGCTGAAAACACTCACAATAAGCTAGTGGAAGCTGTAACAATACTGAAAGGCCTCTGAAGACTGAAACAGTTCCTTTCACATATATTAGCTGCTCCCTTTTTATATGCAAAATTATTTGCTGGAGCAACAAGTTCAGGAATCTTACATTCAAAAACTCTTTAGTATAGTGTCCAGAACTCTGGGGTTCAGAAATACTTCCTTTTTCCCCAGGGTATTTTCCTTTTCTTTGGACCAAAGCAGGAAGCTTTTGTTCAGGCTCATACTACCGAGAAAAACAGGCTAGAAACTTTTTAGCCTGAAAAAAATTATATTAAAATGGACTAATTTCCTATGTGATCTAATCCAACTGCTTATCTGTTAAAGGTAAATAGCAATTAATGTGCTTGTTTCTCTTACTTTAGGAGTGAAGTATCATAAATTAAAGCTAATCACATCACTTCCTTGATGGAAAAACTGCAAATGAGCATGCTTGTTAGGTTTCTGTGTTTAACATCCACTATGCAGAATTGTTGAAACAACAGCTCCTGTTAGCTATTTGAAAAGGGGTGCTGAAACCTGATAAAGATTTGCAATGCAACAAACGTCTTCTGACCTTTTAGTACTAGAATGTATTTACCTTCATGATTTTTAGGCTTTTTTCTTGAGACATCTTTTAGCCATTTAGAAAACAAACATTTAAATTACTTCATCACACATTGGAAGCAGTGGTGACAACATAACACGAGATTATGTCACTTATTGCCCAGAGCTTACCAGCCCCCACTTTTACATTCTGAAAATCAGTTTTCCAGGTGGGGCTTTGGCTCCTATCACAAGCATCAGCATTTATTTCCTCAAATGACCCTAAAGCTCCTGGATAGGTTAATGCTGACCTGGGTTGTTGAAGTCCTGGGGTGAAGAAAAATCCCTTTGGCTTTGTGTGTCTGGCAGTGAACTCTCCATGCTCTCAAACCCCTGAGGGAAAGGAGTAGTAGGGACCAAAGAGATTTAGGGGAGCCTCTGCCAGGACAGCATCTAACAAGACTCTCTGGTGTGTCACTGCCAGGGAACTTTCCTTTCAGCAGTACTGCTGTATCTTGTACGTAAATTGGGTTTTGCCCTCAGACCCTTTGGTTCAGCTTTCATAATCTTTCAGGTCTAGGGATCTGTAAGGAGGAAGTGAGAAAGAAAAATATGTCTGAGGGACAAAAAGTCATCAATCCTGATGTCAATAGAAATAATTACATAGCAATTGTCATGAAACACAATACACTATTAGTGAAATCTTGCCTCTGGCTTGCATCTTTGTTTTATAATCTTGGTTCCTTGCATATAAGCGCAGTAAAGAAAAATGAGTCACACAGACACAATTAGATGTAATTAACTGTGTGGAGGTGGAACCTCAGGAAATCTGTGCTGTGAAAAGTTACAAGGCTTCAATTTTTTTCTTTTAAGGAAGCACCAACAAATAAACTTCTCTATGCTAAGGACATTCCTCTCTACAAGAAGGAGGTGAAAGCGTACTACAAAGCCATCAGGGATCTGCCTCCATTGACCACTGCAGAGGTTGAAGAATTTCTAGCTCAGGAATCTAAGGTATGGTTTAGAAGCAGCAACTTCATTTGCTTTCATGTTAAATTGTTTTTTATTTTTAAAGGAGAAATATCTGACCAGAACTGTTGTCTGTTTTAGAAACATGAAAATGAATTTAATGAGAAAGTGGCCTTGTTTGAAATCTACAAATACATAGTGAAATACTATGATGAGGTAAGCACATCTGCAATTTCAGCTGAATCCTTAATGTGGGGTAACACAGTAACCAAGGGCTGGGCTGCTGTGGGACCTGCTGGGTGCCACTCCCAAGGCAGCCCCTCCTTAATGCAGCCGTGGCTGCTGCGGAGCTGGGAGGGGCTGGAGCAGCGCAGCCCCCAGGGCGCTGCAGCCCCCACCCCTCTGAGGGGGCACAGGCCAAGGGTTTGTCAGTGCCCTTTACTGTCACTGCTGCATTGCACAGAGACAGTAGCAATAACATTTTCCCTGCAGTTTTGAGGAAGTTCCTATATAGCCAAGGCTTCTTGTTTTACTGTGTTTGCAGAGTCTCTGCAAATGCCCGTCACAACTCCTGTGCACGTGCTTCATTTCCCTGGAGGCTCAGAATCAGATTAGACTGTAGCACCAGGGTTCTTGATTTCACAGTCAGTGCAAACACCTCAGTGGAGCACACAGCCTTAAAGCAAGAGTTGTCTGCTCCTTTCCCATCATAGCTGTCTTAATGCTCTCCTGTAATAGTCTTTCTCTTAAAAAGAAACAGCTATAGTTTCCAGTCCCTGCTATTACTAACAAAAGAAATCTTTTCTCAGCTGAAAGTACTTAGTCACAGGCTATCTCTAAGCTGCTTTCTAAGAAAATCCCTGTCCTCCACTTTGCATGATAGGATTCTCCACTCCATTTTGTTCAGCATCCTTAACAGAGGCTGCGTGTGCCTGTGCAGGGACTCAGATAAGAGCCAGCTGGGGTGTGTTGCCTGAAGGCCTCCTTATGCTTCCAGCAGGTTGTCTGGGTTTCCCAGCAACCAGGCCTTTCTCTCTTTCATCCTCAGCAGCAAGCACCAGCACTTGCTGTAGTCATCCAGCTCTCAGTCACCTGTTAGCTGGCTTACCACTTCTGATCTCTGACATCCCAAATTACCTGGATTCAGCATCAAATCTTTGCCTCCTGAAACAAGCTTGAGATGATACTCAAAATGGCATCATCCTTTATTAAGCTCATTAAAATGATTGATACAGGAGAATTCAGTGTACTTTCTAGTCTTAGTGCCCATTTTTGCTTTTTTGAAGCTAGTACAGGCTAAACATAGCTCATCCTTAGAAGGAAATCTTCCCTCTGCTCTTCCCCCTCTGGCTTTTGACTGGGGGCAGCCAAATCTCTTTCATTGTTTACTGAGACCTGTCCCTGTGTAGCATTCCCAGCTGAGATTTCAGACAGCAGTAGTGCTCCTTTCTATCACCTGGGCCAGAGCCAAGTGGGTGAGTTAGAGGAAAAGAGGCAGTTTATTGCCCTTGGCTTATAGGGCAGAGGAAGAGAAATAAAATATCACTTGCAAATCTTCTGTAGGGTGAAAGCTGGAGCACTGACCTTGCCTCACAGTCTGAGAGATGAGCATGTGTTGGGTTTGTTTTGGATTTTTTTGCTTGGCTCAGTCATTCTTTTGTGGAAGTGTTGTAAATCCTGTGATCAGAATGACTTGAAGGGAAAACTACCAAAATAAAGTGTTAAAGTCTGAAAAGAATGTTTACAGATAAGCAGGCACTCAATGCATTTTTCTGTCAGTAGTTGTTAGAGTACAGAAAAACAGGCTTTATAAAATAGCAAGTAAAATAAGCATTAAAAAAATTATTCTCTCTTCTGCTAATTGTTAACAGATTATCAGCAAACTCGAGCGAGAACGGGGGTTTGAAGAAGTCCAGAAACAGCTCCAGCAAGTAAAAGCCTTATTTGATGAAAAGAAAAAATGCAAATGGCATTGAGCAGAGCACTGACTCACAGCACCACTGTGGGGGATTTTCTATTAGTGCTACTGCTCCCAAAACTGTTTTGACTGACTTTATGTACAGGGTTTGAAACGTTTGGACACTCTTCTCCACTCTGACCATTCCACGTAATCGACGATTGGGAGTGAAATATGGGCATGGTTACATATTCACACAGGGGCATGTGAAAGTGAACCTAATGTTGGCAGGGTCAGCATTTTTAGGTACTTGAGCACACATAGCCCTTTGGTTGAAAAGTACCATCTAGTAAGCTTTTTGCTTACTTTAAAATAAGGTCATAGGAGATGTGCAAAATACACTGTAAGTTCAGAGTTGCCCATGTGAACTTGCAAGTCACTTACCTCTTTTTTTTAAGAGAAAAAGCTGATGTTTCACCACATCCTTTCAGCAGCTTGGCAAACTGTGAGGGTGAGAATACGGGTCAGCTGCAGTTTCCTTCCTTCCAGTCAAATGTTCGCTAGATCCTGTTCAGAAAAAATAAACCACCAAAAAAAACAACAACAAAAAAAGGAAAACTACCAAAACAAAACACAAAAAAAAAATCCACCTCAAACACATAAAAAAAAACCCAACAACAACAACCTGGCACCAAAGTGACACTTAGGATGTGTGTTTAGCAGACACAGTGGGTCTGAGGTTGGAAGGCCAAATGCCACATGGCAGGCTTACCTTTGTTAGGTTAGAAATTCCATGTCCAAAGTGAAGCGAACCACTGAGGGGAAGAGGTGAGGGGAGGCTTTTGGAGAAGGGCATTCAGCCACCATCAGTCTGTGTTTACATTTTTGACCTTTCCATCCTTAAATAAGCTGTGAAACACTTGTGAGCAGCTTCACAGCTGAAACTGCACTGCATCAGGACACTTGTGATTTGATGAAGCAGCTGCCCATGGCTGCACTTTGGTGCACAAAGCTGTACTCAGGTGCATGATCAGCCCATGCATCAGTGCCCATGGTCCTGGCCAGCCTTGCCATCTGTGTACAAGGGCCTCACAGACCTAAAGCCAGCATGTGGGGGTCAGCTCAAAGATTGGTTTAATAAGAACAGGAAGACTGGGGTTTGACACAATGATACAAACTTGCTGGGGTTGGGGTGGGGAGGAATAGCTGTCTGCCTTAGTCCAGCTGGGGTTTTTTTGAGGCTTGGCCATTTTGGAAGGAAGGTGTCCATTACACTTGCATGGAAAGCAGGGGCATGGCTGTGCTGCTGGGATGGGGCTGGGGCAGTGGCTTCTGAGCAAAGCCACAGAGGAGCAGCCGTGGCTCTGGCTCTGCTACAGCACCAGCACAACCCTACAGAGCTGAAAGGGTTTGTCAGCCTGGACTCTGCTTCAGCCACAGGAGGCACGTTCTGAGGCTGTCACGTGCCCTTAGATTTGAGGTAAGGCATTCATGACAAGGAGATAGATACATTTCCATACATTTTTGGAGGGACCCACCACTGCAGGTGAGTGGTGTAGCACAGTGGCCCACAGGAGAGGGCAGAGCTGTCACCTGCCTTGGCAGTGGGAAAGGTGCCATGGGCTGTGAATGGCACAGGTGGCCCAAGTGTGGTACAGAAAGCCAGTGCTGGGGCTGTGAGCAGCCAGAGCTGGCTGCACAGGGTCCCCAGGCAGTGAAGGGGCACACGGTGCTGAGCTGGAGGAGCCCCAGAGCTCAGGCATCGGTGCTAATGCCACCTGCTCTGGTCACAAAGGCAGCTGGCCCCAGGCACAATCCCAGTGGCAGAAGCAAGGCAGGCTGTTAATGTGGAGAAAAGCAAACACAAAACAGGGTCCTGCTGGTCTGCCCCCTCCCTACCATGTGATTGCACAAGTTGTTCCTCTTGCATACCAGAGAGGGCAGCCACCAACCAACCCATACTGTGATGGCTTTGTTGGTTTTTTTTTAATTCAAGTCTTACACTTGCTATTAAGTTTACACTTTATACTTGATGGAATGTATGGCTTTGTTCAGGACACTGCACTACAATGTTGCAGTACTTTCAGCAGTTCTCTGCCTGGCACAATGTATTTTGATAAGTTCAATTTTAATTGGAAAAAACCCCATACACCTCTAACCTATCTTGCCCACTGTCCTAAAAGAGTGGACCATGGCTTGACTAGCACTTAAGCTTGGAATACCTGCACGTAAGGGCTTGATTTTTATTGTTCTTAATCTAACCTTTTAAAGCAGCATCAAATAAATAGAAAAAGCACAGTAACTGATACTGAAGGAGAGGCAGGAGTGGATTACACTTTCCAGTTAGTTCTCTTCTGCTTAAGGTGTTTGCTGGCAGTGCATTCAAATGAACTGTGATAGTTTTGTTCAACAGTAACCTTCTGTACAGGCAGAAAAGACAACTCCAACATTTCTGCTTGAAAAGCTGTAAAATATAATCTGTTTGCGTGGGTCTGATCCTGTGAACTTCACTATATGTGTTTATATTGATGAGGAAATGAAAATCAGTCCTATTCTGTATTTGTACTACTGCTTGTTTGCTACAATAGCTTTAATGATTTCTAGAGATTAAGTATGTGTTGAAGCAGGCCCTGTAGCTTTATCTACAGCCTGGAATAGGATTATTGCCTTTTATTCAAGCCTCCTAAACAGTGTCACTCTGTTAGTAAACCATTTTTAAATCATACTGGGACTTCGTAACCCATCAAGTGGATCTCACTAAGTGATGTGAAGTATAATTAAGTGATTGTGGCTCTTTTGGTAGGTTTGGGTCAGCACACAAAACATTGGTACACCTTCTGTATCTGCAATTTGCCATTACTGTCACACAGAGAAAAAGAACCACCTCTGACTATTATGGCAACACAACAGTTCTAATCACATCCTCAGAAATGAAAAGCAAACTTCTCCTCAACTTTCCATGTTTACAGGCAAACTGCTATGGCAAACAGCGTGTTTCTAACACTAGCTTACAGAGCATTATTTTGCAGTCATCTAGTTTGAAGTCAAATCTTACTAATGTGTAAAGTAATTCCTGTTGTACAGAAGTTAATCTGTTGTTTAAAATGAATGGTTTAAAAAAGTGCAAAGACAAATACATGTTGGTGTTTGTATGGGTTTATCTAGAATAAAAGCATTTGGAGGTTAGTTTGATTGTGTACTTTAAAATGGTTACAAGAAAGCAAACACAGCTGGTAACAAGGCAAGGTCATGCAAGGAATGGAGTGTGAGACACAGAGTGGCATCAGATGAGAAGCAGTGCTGCAGCTCCAGCCCCACAGGTCAGCACAGCACGCTTTCATCAGCCTGAAATTGGGAAGAGGAACAGGAAGGTAGAATCTAACTTCTGATAATGCTGGGGAGGGTAGGCACTGGCCTAAACTCCAGCAGCTGCAGAGTCTGAATGGAGGGGGATTCCCCGGGCCAGAGGATTCCCAGCTGCCTTCTCACCTGTGAGAAGCTGGAAAAGGCCAGGGACAGGCTGATTGTGCAGTGCCTGCCACACCTCCACACAGCCTTCAGGATTTTCACTTCAACTGCACCACTTAACAGCTCTGAGGGTGATGATTCTTTTAAAAAACTAAACACGTTAAAAAAAGATGATAACTCAATAATCCTTCTTTCAGGAGAGGGTGCTTAAGGGACAGGAAATAAGCTTTCACACAAAAGGCCTGGGACCCACTGGGAAAGGCAGCCCATAAACCAAGTGCTGACCTTCATTCCTCCTCCTGCCATTACCCTTTTTGTGCCCTCCAAGTCTTACCTGGTTTGTATGAACCTCCCCTGCCCCCTGACATCAGAGAGGACCTTGCTGACACAGCCTCGGCTGGGGACAGAAACATGAAGCTGATGACAGCGGTTCCGTGCTGGTAGATCCTGGTGACCATCCCGTTTGGCAAAGCTGGCTCAGGCACAGAGAGTTACTGTGTACAGGTTCATATGCAGGAGCAGCACAAATAGCTCCTGTCACTTCCAATAGCTACACTGTTTTCCTCAGAGAAGTTTAACAAATTCCCCAAGAATGCATAAACTCTGGTTTAGGAATGGTATTCCCTAATTTAGTTCTCCCGCTGACACACTGGAAAGCACCCTCTGCTCTCCCACTGCCTCACCTCCCCTCCCCTGAGGCAGGATGGAGAGGAGAACTGGAGGCAGAAAAAGTAAAGATCATGAGATAAGAAGAACTTACTGGAAACAGCAATGAGATAAGAAAATGATCAGTAACAGGAACAATACTAATGAGAGAGGGTAGAAGGGAGGCAGATTTACACGTGGTTGCTCACTACATGGAGCCTGGCATGCTACATGAGCCAAAAGGATCCCCTGACCCTGAGCCTGGAAAATGAGTAGTGTAGAATAACCCCAGCTCCCAGGCACAGCCCCCCTGGTACTGCAAAAGTTAACCCTGTCCTGGCTGGAACCAAGACAAATCCTTGTACTTACACACTGTGGAAAGTGAAAAATGCAGCCTCTGGAGAGAAGAATTGAGTCAATGCCGGTGTCATCCCTTTGCTATTCCTACAGTCTAACAGCAATACTCAAACAGCAATACTCAATAACCTATTACAAGACATTGCACAGTGTATTCTCACTGTGCAGTACTTTGAAAACAACAACAATGGCCACAAACCAAATACAAACAAACAAAAACCTAGATAACAAAAATTCCTCCAGTTCCAGGAAAGTAATCATTATTGGATTATCAGGTAAAAAAAATTTAGATAAATAATTGATCCTTCACAAATTTCTGGACTGATAATGAACTGAAAAAATATATTCAACCTAGAATCAATATTTTTGTTGTGGTTAACAAATTAGAGTAGGAATAAATACAGACTTACATTTACTTAATGCAAAGGCAATTTACTATACTAATCTCTGCTATATTATATTAAAAAATCCAATTATTGCCCATTCCCATTATAGAAATACAAGAGGCACATTGTCAAGGGTAACAAATAGAAGTTTTCAGAGCTTTTAAAATTTCATTTTATCCTTTTTATCTGCATCAAAATACCAACCTAGATGTTGATTACAGCATTGTTAGTGATCAAAACTGCAACCCAGAGTAGCATACATTAACTTTCACATTGAAAGAGTAAGAGGATATTATCAAGTGTTAAAGGCATTATAAAAAATTGTTTTAAATTTTTATATTAAATGTCAGTTTTATTTTAAACAATCCAAACCTTGTAAAACAATTTTCAAAGTTTCTTGTGCTAAGGTTATTTAATGTTTTGACTTTATGGAAAAAAACTGAAAAACAAACCTTATTGAGAAGGGATCTTGGCAATAGTTCACAGAATCACAGAATGGTTTGTGTTGGAAGGGACCAAAGATCATCTGGTTCCAATCCCCCTGCCATGGGCAGGCACACCTTCCACTATTACAGGTTGCTCAAAACCCCATCCAACCTGGCCTTGAACACTTCCAGGGATGGGACATCCACAGCTTCTCTGGACAACCTGTTCCAGTTCCTCACCACCTCCACAGTAAAGGATTTCTTCCTAATATTGAAACCGGCCCTTTTTCAGTTTAAAACTGTTGTCCCTTGTCCTCTGACACTCTCTGGACATAGAAAAAATCCCCCTCAGTTTTATAGCCCCCTTTAGATACTGGAAGAATAATGTTTCCCCGAAGCCTCCCTTTCCCTGCTGGCCATGCTGCTTTTGCTGCAGCCCAGGATGTGGTTGGGCTTCTGGGCTGTGAATGCACACTGCTGGCTCATGACCAGCCCTTCATCCATGAGAACTCCACTGTCCTTCTCTGCAAGGCTGGTCTCAGTGACTTCTTTTCCCAGTCTATATTCACATTTGGGATTTTTCCCTACCCGGATGCAGCACCTTGCACTTAGACTTGCTGAACTACATAATGTCCCCATGGGCCCACGTGTTGATGACAGCCCTTCCTTCTGTTGTGTCAGCAACCCTGCTGAGGCTGCACTTGACCTCACTGCCAGTCATCAGTGAAGGTACTGAAGAGCATCCATCCCAAGAGTGAGCTCTGAGGGGCCTCACTCAGCACCATCCTCTGCCTGGACATGGAGCCATGGACTACAACTCTGGCTGTGTCCATCCAGCCAATTCCTTATCCACTGAATGATGATTCACCCATCAAATCCATGTCCCTTCTGTCTGGAGATCAGCCATGTCATGTGGGACTGTACCGAAGGCCTGACAGAAGTCTACATGATGACATTTGTTGGTGTTCCCCAGTCAACCATTTCTGTCACTCCATCATACAGGGCCATATTGCTCAGGCACAATTTGCCCATAGAAAAGGCATGATGGCTACCTTGGCTGCCCTCCTTGTCTTTCACTTGCCTCAGCACATCTTCTAGAAGGATCTGCTCCATGATCATCACAGACACTGAGGTGAGGCACACCAGTCTGTAGTTTCATGGTTCATCCTTTCTTCCCTTTTTAAAAATGGGAGCATAGTTTCCCTTTTTCCAGTCACTGAGGGCATCACCTGATTGCCACGATG